ATAAGTCTCTTTTCTTTCTTTCTTTTTTTTTTTGTTTTATTTCTAAATAGTGGATTGATACTGATTTGAAACTAAACTTTTTGGAAAAGTTTTTGACATTACCTCAGTAATACAAGAAGATGAAAAGTAGAAACCCAAGTTTGGCATGTGAGGTGTTGAAAGCAGGTTTGCAGCCACTTTGTAAGTTCTGGTTTTTACCTTTAAAACCTTTGGTAGCACAAGGGTTGATGGTGGAAATTTTGCACATAGTATCCTTTTGGTTTTGTTCTGAAATTGTTCTTCTGTGTCCAGTGGTTCAAATAAACCAATTAACATACAAAAGTCTTATCAAGAACATGACGTTACATAAATTAACAAATTTAATAAATAGGTATACTTCATATATTAAGCTTATTACACCACATAAACCTCACCCTGTGTGGTGAGTTTTCATTTTTGACTTAATTGTTTTCTGAACATAGCATAAGGGATTGCATGGGATGCAGGCTGGGTTCTGAGAAAAAAGCAAGTTCTCTAATGGCTTTTTGTTAGTCCTGGGTGTTCATGCACAGGTGGCTGAAAAACCTGTAAAATCAAAAATATCTTCAATTTATTTGCATTTGCAATCTTAAACTTTCCAGTATGGGAAATGACTTGCTTTGCACTCCAGCTGCAATAAAAAAAAGAAAAGTCATCAGGACAGTATTTATTTATTTTGAGAACTTGGTAATCCTTGCTGTATTTAATGATCTCTTTGGAAAGAATGAACAAGGATTTCAGGATTGGCTCCACGTAAGTGTTATCTAAAGACAAGACTCCCTCAATACCAAGAAGTGATTTTAAAAATCTTTTTCTTTCTCCTGCCTTTCAGACTGGTTTTTTTTAGAGGCTGAATGCCTTGTTTGACTTCACAAGATAATAGGATATAGAAATATATGTCATTGCCTTAGTTGCTAACTCAGGAGGTAATACATTTTCTTTGTACGATGCTTTATGTTATTGAACAGAAAAAGACTGCACTGATTTGCTCATGGGGATGCTCTTTGCTATGTGTTCCCTTAGTTTCTGATATTACATTAGCCTGTGATTTTTAGCAGCATGCATTTGTGCCACATGCGTGTTGCATCCCTTCTTCCACTGCCTGCTTTTTGGCTGCTCTTTGTTTTCAGAAAGAACTGGAATTACTCAGTCTCTTGGTTGTGAATGTAATTCTGTTCACTGCCTGAAAGTGAAGTAAATGTTTGGGAGCAGCAGGCCCCTTTCAGACTTTCTGGAAAGCAAATGTACAAATGACAGGTATCATGAACAACTGGAATTTCCTTGAAATTTAGTCTTCCTAGGAGTAGTGCGGAGTAATTGGTTATCTTTATTTGCATTCTCAACTCCAGCACTAACCACTTAGTTTGTTAGTTCTTGGTTATTTTCTATCTTCCATGTACACCTTACAGAATTGCTTGTTATTGATGTGTAAATTATTATGTCCAGAATGGAACCAGGGCTTCCTTACGCTGACCTGTTAGATACCATTCTGCCCCTTTTAGAGGAGGAAAAAACCCATGTAGGACAGGCAACAAATTCTGAATTACTTATTTCAACTACCTAACACGTTTTAGTGATGGCAATGAATAGATTCAGGAGGTTTAGTTTCAACAGTGATCAGAGTTGCTCTAATGTGGAACTAGCTTTCTTTTCTCTCTTGTTTTTTTTTTATTAAGAAAAAGGGAAAAAACGCATCCACCTTGTAATGCTGGTGCACGTTTCATTTATAACACTGTGGCTGCATACTTGCCATAACATGCACTTGGCTTCTATCCAGTGTTGTTGCTCTGAAAGCAATTTTTATTTTGAGGCTGTGTTAAAATATATTCAGTCCTATATTTCTCAATGTACATATTCATTTAAACTATATATTTGTTATTGCAAGCACTGTTAAAATGAACATGAAAGAGCCACCTGTAACAATTCTTATTAATATGTGTCTAAAGAAAGTAAATTCAAATAAAAGAAATGCTTAAACTTGGAAAGGTGTGTGTATATTTCCAACCTTAACTCGATAGACCAGTGACCAGGTACAGCCGCTCACACTGAATGTCCACTGGTTATATTTTGTTTATTATCTGCATGTTGGGGAAAACTTAATTCCTCAGAACCAGGAAATGCAAAATGCTCTCACCTTTTAAAGCAATACCAGTCAAGTTTGACTCACTGAAACATTTAGAATAAAGTTTCCAAAATGCAACATATTCAACCAAGAGATCTCCTGTAGGTATCAGATACACATGTGTTGTCACTGGCTTTAGAATAAATAGATAAAACAAAATGGAAGCCATGGAAAACATAGTGGTTTATTCATTATAGGAACTTTGTGAATTCTTATTTGTTTGATCTTGTTTATCTGTCTGTTAGTTCGAAGGAAAATGAGTTGGCTAAAGGCCTGCAGACTCTAAGAAACCATAAATTTTACAATGTTTATTAGTATTTGTGTAACTTAAAATGTTACTAAAGCAATTACTAATTTATCCCCTAAAATAGATTTTAAATTTGTGTATCTGATTGTTCTAATATAGCCAGTTTATTTAACTGGCTGTAATGTTTGTTATACTTTCTTACATATCTTTAATTATTATAATAACGACAACACTGGCCTGTACATGCTTTAAAACACTTGCATGTTTATGGATGGTAATGGCATTCAGTTGAGAATATATAAGGCTAAAGAGAGAGGTGTCTCTGATAAACGGAGAGAGTAACCAGTTTATAATGAACAGTATTTATTTCCTTTTAAAACGTATAAAGCAAAAACATATACACATATTCATACACATACATGCTTTTTAACTTACAGGAAAAAAATCTGGAGGAGAAACTGTTTTGGATAGCAATAATGATAGCAACTTAAATATTGCAAAATGTTGCACCCAAAAGTAATGATACCACTGCCAGCTCGTTTAGCTTTATACTGAAAAGTATTTTGTTTAGTGATGTATTTATATTTTTTTTTCCTAGGAAAGTGAAGGGAAAGTACAATTGTTGCATTTCTGGACAGGGTACGCATTGAACCATTTGATACGCAGGGTATGATCAGTGTTTGGCATCCCTGTTCCAATGCAGACCTGGGTATGGATTGTCACTTTAAGCTTTTCTTATAGGTCTTTCAAAAGACTTCTCTCTAAAACACTCACAGTATTTGCTGCAAAAAGATAAGTCTTTGATATTAAACTGTTGGAGGAAAAGTAATTTCTAGAGCCCTGCTACCTGGTTCAATGTAATTATTTATTTGTCAAAGTCTTTGTCATGGACAGGCAAACACGAGACGTGCGTACGCTGTGTAGTACTGTGCGTGGTACTCAGTTTCATCGGTTAAAAGAAGAATTGATTTTAAATGGGAGAAATTTTGCTGTTCAGTAATCCAATTCTGCAGCATTACTGCTGTGTGTTCCACGTATCCTGTTTGCAAACACTTGCATGCAGCATATATGCTGTATGCATGCTGCATATTTCTATTTCTTTCTGAGTGTATAAAGGGCGAATGGAAACTAATTCTGTTTTATAAAAACAAAGTAAACAACCCAAATAGCAACGATCTTTCTCAACTCAAAGTGGCTGCAAATCAGCTCTTAAATATTGTCACTGAAATTAATATCTAGATTTAATAGTTCTTGCCAATCCTATAAATGTTTTTGAAAAAAGCATTGCATTAATGCATGATATAGAAAGGATAAATTTGCCTTTAAATTGGAATGCAATTCAAAGTGACTGAATTCTCCAATTTCAGCCACTATATTTGCCAAAGAACAAACTGGAAAATGGAACTGGTATCATTCATCTGCTCCTGGTTCACTGGGAGGTTCGGGGAAGGGACTTCCTATGAAGGTAAAAGCAGAGTAGTTTATCAATAAACTGTAATGACCACTACATTTTACAATCTGAAGTAGCGTAGCCTTACTTTTAAATTCATTTAGCACAGAAAACTTGTAAGAAAAAAATAACAGTTTAAAAACTCTTTGTCATCAGTCATTGATACACCCTGGTAATCACAAGGAGGCTGATTTATAGGAAGGTTTGCTAAATTTTGCTGTTAGTTAAATACATATATCATGGCTGAACGTACTTTATTCTGTTACTTTTAAATAGCTTAAACTGGATAAAATAGTTCAACTACCTCTAAACCTTTTAGACTTGAGAGGTTAATATAATATACTGGATTTTCAAAAAAATCCCAAACAACAGTAAGGAGAGCATCATGTGCCTCTTAACATTAGGTATTACCTCTACGACAGCAGTAACTAGCTGAACAAACTTATTGTGTAATTTTGTACATATGTATATTATCTACAATTTGTTTCCAAAATTAGATTATTTCTGTGGCTCTGGTTTATTGTGTAAGGTGTGGTCAGCAGTGTAGAAATACAGAAGATAGCATCTCTCCCCTAGGAAGTTTAAATCTGAATGTAAAATTCAGATAGTTTATTCCTCAGTGAGCTACAGCTGACTTAAATAAAGATCTATGTTTGTCCATACTGCTTCCTCTCAAATGTTTTAGCCTACATTTTCACCTGGTTTGTCCATTAAAATTCTTCAGTTGGAATGATTCTTCTCCAGAAATCTTCAGGGTCTTGTTTTAATCATTTAGTTGTCCTTTCATGTTTCTAAAACATTGATCTGTGTGACCTCTGGAGAAGTCAGTGTCATGTTGTTTAAAATATCCTGCTTAATGGGAATTTTTCAGAGCTCTGTCCCAAGCTATCTCTGTATGTATAAGGGACTCAGCTAAGAAAGTCTGAGAGAAATAAGTCTCAGTGACTGAATTACGGAAATTTCACGTCTTCTTGTATCAGCATGTCACCAATGCAGATATTTCATCCCTGTTTTGAACCTTCAGAATAAACAGCTATGTCATAGTGACTGATACCAGTTCCATTTTTCCTACCAACTCAGTTGATTTTATATTTTATTTCTCATTTATGATGGAATAATCAGCAGCTCTTTTTCTCATTTATTTTCTCATATTTTTATTCCAGGATTTGCCTCTGAAGCAGGGAGTGTCTGCATTAAAAATGACCTGTAGTTCTCTGCTTCATAGGTTAGAAACTTATTTTAATATTTTGTGGCTAAGCACAGTCCCGTCTTTTTCAAAAATAAAAATTTCCAACAATAAATGGTTTAATTGGCATTGAATGTGGATTATAAGCATTTTGCATTGGGGCTTCCATTATTTTAGATGAAATGGCTTCTACACAAATAATTAGTCCAGCTGAGGCAATGAAAGTTCTGTTTACTTGCAGCCATTTTTATGCATTAACATTAAGTTTTTAAAAAGTTGATCACAGTGGATCACACTGAGTCTTATTTGGGCATTTCCAAAGTGCTGTATTGGTTAGGCTGTATTGCTTTAAGCATTTACATTCTAAAACTTACCAAATTCCAAATATTTGTGGGGGAAAGAAATCAGTTCATAAATCACTTTATTTCAATGGGACTGCTATAGCCAGCACACACAGAACCATGTATCTTGTATTTACTTCTGAATTATACACCGCAGATGCTTCTTCAGCTCCTTCCTCTTCCTCCATGGGCGGTGCTTGCAGCTCCTTTACCACCTCTTCCAGTCCTACCATTTACTCTACCTCAGTCACCGACAGCAAGGCTATGCAAGTGGAGAGCTGCTCCTCAGCCGTGGGGGTAAGTAACAGAGGGGTAAGTGACAAGCAGTTAACCAGTAACACAGTCCAGCAGCAGCAGTCAACGCCGAAGAGACACACAGTCCTGTACATCTCGCCACCACCCGAGGACTTGCTGGACAACAGTCGGATGTCCTGCCAGGATGAGGGCTGTGGATTGGAGTCAGAACAGAGCTGCAGTATGTGGATGGAGGATTCACCCTCCAACTTCAGTAACATGAGTACCAGTTCCTACAATGATAACACTGAGGTGCCACGTAAATCACGCAAACGAAATCCAAAGCAGAGGCCAGGGATCAAACGTCGAGATTGTGAAGAGTCCAACATGGATATATTTGATGCCGACAGTGCCAAAGCTCCTCACTATGTCCTTTCTCAGCTCAGCACGGACAGCAAAGGCAACTCAAAAGCAGGAAATGGGTTGGTATCTGTTTTGTTTGTTTTTTTTTTTTAATAAAAAGTTCTCTCACCATGTGTAAAACCAAACTAATAAAACTCCCCCCATGAGTCAAGTGTTCTACTCAGGTTCTCACATAAATCCCTTCTCTTCTCTGCTCTTCCCCTTTGCCTCCCAGCCCATGATAAGTTCTCATTAGACTTGTTAATCTTTGTTTTGAAGATAAAGCTAAACTTTCCTGCAACAATTGGACGCAGCACTGATTAGCTAATCTGTATTCTTGTTTAAGTGAAGCTCCTAAAAGCTTGCACAATTCCATTTATAAAATGGCAATGAAACATCTTATTTAAAAAGAAAGGCAGAAGTGGACTGGACGCACCCTAAATCTTAATGTTTTTTGCAGGATTTTATGTGAGGATTTCTGTCTGTGCACTTTACCTGCTTCTGTTTGTGTCTCTCTCTATTTATTAAATAGAGAGAGTGATGGGACTAGAAGTGAATTGCTTGTTAGGATTCCTCATGATTTAAATTAACACATGCTTTACTTTTTTATAAAAAATGTTAAGATGATACGGTGAACCAGAACTTGTTTTTTCTTGTGAATTCACTTCTGTATTTGATTTTTTTCAGAAATAAATCTCTAATCTTGTTTCTCTCTGTGCTTCTGGGTTGTGTGCATGCGTGTGTCTGTACGTGGGCACGCCTGGGTGGTGGTCTCTCATCTCTCCCACTTCACACTCTTCACTAAATGCATTTCAGTAGTTGCTTAAAGAGGAGAAAGTCCATCAGTTTACAGTAGTGTGTTGATACATTTTTAAAATTTTATTTTAATTTTTAACTTGTGGCTTCTTAACGTTTAAGATGGATGGTCAAGTGGATAGATCTGGCTTTTTAATTTTGGGTTGGTTTTTTTGGGGGGGGGTGTTTATTTGTTTCTGTTTTTACTTTTATGTATGTGCTCGCAGTACGTTCTAATGTTCATCACAGTAATGGTGAATATTAAAAATTTGACTGATGGGAAAGATTATGAACTTCTCATATTCCAAAGGGAAAGAGCCTGGAGTCTGTATTCCCAGGGTCATTGCAGTTCCATACTTAAAATTTCACTGTGAGAAAGTGATTCTGAGAAACTCTCCAGAGTGTGCTGCCCTGGGTACCCCATGGGGAAAAGCCAAGCTGGTTGGTACTGGGAGCGTTGGCTCTGCTGCCCGCTCCTCTCTTCTGGTGTCTCGCTCGAAGCTTGACTGCAGTTGTGCAGCATTGCTCCTTTTCACCAGCTGAAACAGAGAATAAAGTAAAACGTTAGTATGTGGTAGACCCCAAGAAGCAAATTAGCGTATGTAAAGCAGCTGCTTGGAAGTAGGAAACTGCTTCCTCGGAGCACAGAGGAGGTCAGATGCTCCCTTACAAAGGGAAGAAACTTTATCGAAAGGCAAGAACTGTGTGACTGTCAATGGGCTCTCTGAACAGAAAGGGGAGATTTACCAAAACTCTGGAAGAATATGTATGATCTCAACCTAAAACATCACAAGACTGTAACATTTCCTAACACGTTTAGGGATAACCAGTGAACATACCGTCAGCAGCATGTCAACGACATGGGTACTGTTCTCTTAACATGCAGGGATAGATAAGTGTATTTTTTTTTCTGATGTGTCGTATACCAACTGGATTGAACTGTTACTCTTATGTAACAGAACTGTCCTTTTAAATAAAAGCTCTGGAATAAGAAATGGCCAAGATATTAGAAAACCTAATTTTGCAGTGGGAATATGGAGATTTAGTGATACAAATCTAGGTCACAGTAGTGATATTTTTTTTTTAAACTTTTCAGCCTGGTGGAGTTCAGCCAAGGGAGTTCATTTACTTCTGGCTTTAAGAAAAGAGCAAGGAGAGCAACCTTGGTAATTTGTGAAGTGGAAATAGCCTTTGCCTCAAAAGAGACTTCTAGTCAGTTGTCTTTAAGAGCTGGAAGGAAAAGAATATATTCCTGTGGAAACTTAGAATTCGTTAAAGCCTTTTTAGAAACGGATGAATTGATGGTGATTTAGGGCAAAGAGTCTCAGATTTCCGACATGCTTGGTCTCACTTTCACTTTCAGGTCTTCACTGAGAACAGCCCTGATGCCAGTGCCAGATCAGGCAAACCTTAACTGAGGAAATCTGTTTTAATAGTATCATGGGGTTTGCCACTTAGATTTTTATTTTTGTTTAAAAAAGAAGTGCTACCTTTGAGGAGATGTTGTCTGGTAACAGTTAAGCTAATAAATTAATGTGTGTGTATGAAATATTTTACCACTTACATGGGTATTATTATAGGTAAGCTAAATTAAAAAGATGTATATATTATATATCCTCATAAATTGAGGATAAAGACCACTGAGGTGTTCTGGTGAAGGCTTTACAATTGCTTTCAAGTTCAGCTAATCCAGCTGAAAGCAACGATTAGGTTTCTAGAGGGAAAACTTTCAAAATAATTGCTAGGCAGCATCTCTTCGCATAAATATGACAACATACAAAATACTAGTATGTTGGCAATTAAGGTAACTTGGGTTTTAAGTGTAAAGTAACTTCAGGAAAGCAGAGTTGTGTTGGCAAGGCCAAAGTGTTAATGGCATACTGCTAAAACTTCAGTTCAAGTGTTAAAAGTGATTTGATGGCTGCCTCTCTAATGCTTCCCTTCAAAATTCAGTAATGTCTCCGTCTCCCATATTAATTTATGGAGCTAGAATTTCCAAGTGTGACATGGCCAGACCGAGCGATCCATGCGATGTCTGATGCAGAGCGTTCTCCTGTGACATTGCAGGGACAGCGTTTGAATAATGAGGCAGTGTTTGTGGTAGCTGAGGTTGCTCAGGGTCCCTTCCCGTGTTCCCTGGGGGAAATGAAGAGGTTGTAGCTGTGTGATCCAAAATTCTCAGTAAGAAGAAGAGATGACTTCCGTTGAAAGTCTGTTGGAGTAATGTCCTGGCAGGAAGAATAGAGAAAGTGATTATCTAACAAGCTTGAATTTGATTAGCGTTTTTGCTTAACTTGCACAGAAGCAACGAGCACAGTGGTGTTAATTACAGTTTATTTAGTGTATCGCAGGTTTTGTATGTGCTACATTGAAGAAGAATTTTGTCCCGTTTATTTTCCTAAAAGAAGGTATGTTTTTATGTAGCATTTTTGTTTTTTTTAAAGAGCCTGTTTGTCTAGACTGTGGCAGAGTTATGGGGACTCCTTGGCAGGAGGATGGTACTCTCACAGTCATCTGTACCCTCGAGATCCTGCCTCTCTGCCGTTACTGGGATGAAGAGGAGCGTGCTGGGCATCCGTCCCAGGCTCAGCTGGCTGAGCAGGAGGCTCGCTGGGCAGCCCATGGCGAAGCGGTTAACCTTCACAAATAGAAAAACATGAATGAAATTCATACAAAGCACAGGCCTCGTAACAGCTCAGCAGTGTCCATTTTAACCCTTTGTTACGCATATTACAAGGTTTTGGAAGGCTCAGTAGAAACAAGAGTGTGAGCAATAGGAATAGGAGATGGGGTGGAATCAGGGGGCAAAGTGCCCGAGCTCCCCTGGGGTAGGAGAAGGCCCTTCTGTAGGGAAGGTGCTGGGCCAAGAGGGAGTTGGGAGTATTTGTGGACAGTGTGGCCTTGTGCTCCTCACTGCACAGCAGGAGATTTAGAAAAGGTGCTGATAATGTTTGTTAGTATAAATCATCTGGTAATTGGGAGGAGAGCTCTACGGGTTACCCCAGCCTTCAGGTCAGAGAAAAATTCATGCTGTGGCAAAGCTCTCAGTACACAATTTTGAAGAAAAAGCATTTCTTTTACCCTTCTCCCTGAGAAGAAAAAATCTTGGATAAATTACTTCCGTATTTTGCACATTGAAACAGGATTTGTTTTTTTAAGCAATTCACACCTGTTATTTTAAACCACTTTCTTCACAGTCATTAGCTGTTAGAAACTACTTTTTGGTAGTAAAAAAGAATATTACATTCTGCGTAAACTCATTGAGCCCTTTTTCTGCCTGTACTGTTTGATGGCATGTTTACATTTGCAAGTCTTAAATGAGTTCATTAGACTTCAGGTTAATTATACAAACCTGCTCTGTATAAGATCAAGAGTTATTTTCCATTGTGCTTTAAAGTGAACACAAAATCGATCACATAATGTTATACTTTGGAGGGCTTCTTCATTCAGGTTTTAATTATGGAACTGAATACAAGAAACATTATATCTTAAGGTATGCACCTGGAAAGAAACAGTCTTTTTGCATTCACTGAAGATTTAAAATTGGTGCAATTGTGTCAGAGCTTCTTACAATAACTAATTTGGTTTGAACAAAAATTTATCGATCTGTTTTGACAGAAATTAGTATTTGAGTTTGCATGGATATGCAAGTTCGTGGAGACAGGCATGAGGCTGTTTTCCTATTTAAAGAAGTATCATTTAACCTTAAATCCATTCAGTGTGTGTGTGTACATATGCATATTTGTTACAGAAGTGAAACAGCTCAGATAATATCAGGCTGTATCATATACGATCAAAAAGCAGGTTATGAGCCTTCTGTTTGTTTGTTAATAAAGCTTAATGCTAATTGCTTTTCCCTTCCTTTATGTTTACTCTCTGAAAAGCAGTTCCTATTTGCCCTGGATGGAGGAACCAGGGAAGCACCATTCCTCTTCATCCTGCAGGTTTCCTTCTCTGTCAGAAAGAGAATTCCAAAGTTTGCTCTCAACTATGAATCTTCTATCCATTAATATACACTCTTTATCTTTTTAGCTTTTCTGTCATTCAGTTTGTTTTTATTGAGGAGCTACCTATAACGTCTTTTTAATGGTCTGCTTTGACTTCCCAGAGCATCAGAGAACCAGAAAGGAGCTGGCGGGAAGAAGACCCCAATGTTGTGTGGTCAGTATCCGACTAAGAGCGAGGGGAAGGAGCTGAAGATAGTGGTACAGCCGGAAACCCAGCACAGGGCTCGTTATCTGACTGAAGGCAGCCGAGGCTCAGTGAAAGACCGGACACAGCAGGGCTTTCCAACTGTGAAGGTAGGCTGTTCAGTGTTAGGTGATACGGGGACTCCTTTCAAAGGGATGCTTTAGTAGAATGGGAGCTGATTCAGTTCAAATAGCCTAGAATCTCTATTTTTAGACGGAAGGGGGGAGACTTTGTAGTCTCTTTGCTGTAGAGACTGCACCATATCTCTTCTTGCAGGTAGCAAGAATTCTTATTTGCATCACAAAGCTACAGGAGGAAGGAAGCTTTATGTCAAGGCAATGATATATAATCTGTGATGCATATCCTGTTAGAATACAATTACACGAACTGTGTAAATAGATAGACACTTGAAGCATACCAAACTAGGACAGTTAAATGCTGTAACTGTTTGATTGCTGGTGACAGTGGGTCATCATTATGCCTTTTTGGTAAGGACGTAAAAATAGGTTTCATCTAAAAAAATTAAAGTGGGGAGTTTTTTCTTTGGGGTTTTTTGTTTGGTTTTTGTTGATTTGTTTTTTAATAAGTATCTGAATCCACATATCCAGTGTCTGTCTTTCAAGCAGGGTGATAAAGATCTAACTGAGGTGTATTTTGTGGGTCGTGCTGCTCAGTATGAAGCAGTGCATGTGGATTAGTAGAATTGCAGAGTCGGGGGGAAGAAAAGAGGAAGCAGTGGTATGCACGCTTCACAAATGCAGCCTGTTTCCTGGATAGACTCTGATGCCTTCAAGTTTAAGCGTTGGTGGTCACTTGCTCTGAGGTACAAAAACTGTATGGTACACAGGACTGAACAGTATCCTCGGTCCTTCTGATCAAGGGGAAGGATCTGGATAGAGCACGTACAGTCAGGGATCCAGGGACTGTTTGCAGAGCTGGTTTCTCCAGCAAGCATTTAGCTGTTTTGTTTGTCTTGCTTCATTTTGAGGGGAGAAAAGGAGAACTGATGTAATTCACCTTACTCAAAGAGTGGAAAAAATGTTTGTGACCAGGATTGCCAGCCTGCTGAAGGAGAGCTTTACTGTAAGTTTGTCAGAGGATGGGAACCAAAGCCCAAAAGGAAAGGAGCAGCTACAAATAGAGGAGAAACATGAGGAAGAAGGCTACAAAGAGGTCTTTCACATTCCTGCTCAGAAGGGAAAACGTTCAAATACTGTCCTCCAGTGACTGCACACTAATGCACAGAGGGTGAATTTGCAGATCTTGTTTCTTCCCTGGTGCAGTCACAGGGCTGTGACTTGACTGGAATCACAGAGACTAGGGGTAGCCTGCATGGCTGGAACGCAGTTGTGGATGTGCCCAGCTGTTTAGAAAAAAGAAGAAATCATGTATCATACAGAGCAGTTTGCATGGACCTCCAGCATGAAATGGGAGCCTGACCTGTTGAGATCAGAGGAGGGAGAAAGCTCAGAGATAATGTTTTGGTATCTGTTACAGACTGCCTGACTGAGAAGATAATAGATGATGCTTTCTGTAGTCCCCTGCATACAGACCTCTCTTACCACGAGAGATTTCAACCATCTGTCCATCTGCAAGGGTGGACATAGTCTGGTGGAAGCAGTCAAAGAACTTGACTGTGCTTGCAAAGGTTTCCTAATGCAAATGGCAGAGGGGCTTACCAGGAGTAATGCTTTGCTTGACTTACACAAACACAAGATCTGATGTCAAATACCATCACAAAAGTTGAAGTGACCACGGTATGAATGTGAGGGTGTACACCGAACTGAGGACAGCACAGTGTTGCACACTGGAATTAAGGCAAATGGCATCTTGGTTGTACTGGGAGAAGTGTGGTCAGCAGGCTGAGCGAGTAGACCGCTATATTTGTTATCATACAAATAAGAAGGAGAAAATACATTTCCTTTCATGTTTTTTTCTTAGTTGTACCACTTTGAGAAAGCAGCAAAGCAGTTCTCAATCCAAAGTTATTTACCAGGTCCACAATGAAATATTTGTTTAGGATACAGCCCTTAAAATTTGTGCTAACTACTGCTGACAGTATAGAAGTATATTTATCTTTGAAGTCCAGTTCAACAGTGTTAGAAACATCTCCAACACTTCACTCAGTCCTCCTGAGTAGTGTAGGAATCCAGTGAAGTTTCATAAGGAAAGAATCCATTCATATAGTCCTGTTGCTATGGTGATTTAGTGCTCATTTATGTGAATTTTCTTAATGGGCCTTTGTTCATCTGAATTTCCTTTTAATTCCTTTCCCAGTTACCCTTTAGCACCCATCAGTGAAAATTCTGTTTGGAAGAGTCTCATGTTACTGAATTCCTGGAAGCTCAAGCTTGCTTAACCAGTAGGCACACTAATTCATACCCTGCATATACAAGACTGCCAGGGTTGGACAGACGAAATGAGTCAGTGGATTTTCAGGAAATCTGAGCTAGGGGAAAAAAATATATATAAAGGACAAGAGGTGTTTGGTTTTGTTTTATAATTTGGGGAGGGAGGGGTTGGGGTGTTTTAAAGGTGGGGAAGAATAGTGTAAAAATGTTGCTAGTTCAGTAGAGATCTGGTGTTTGCTCTTCTCTGGCAGCACCTGTGATAGGCAACCATTGAGATGCATCATTCTTAAGCAGACTGAGGAAAAAAACTAGGTTCTGTGGCCCTTTAAAGAAAACCGTGTTACTTGATGACTTAGAACTACAGCATCTACAATCAATACGCAACATTAAAATTGTATAAACCTTAGTCAAGTGGCTTGTCTGGCAAAAGAAAGATTATCCTGACTGGAAGGTGTCAGCAGAGGTATTCCAGCCATCAGTAGCAGATTTTCATGGTGTCTTGCTAACAGTATTGCGAAGCTGGAGCATTACCATCCAGATGATGAGAGATGCTCTTGCACACCTTTCATATCTTCTTCCAACAGGGACAGTGGGGAAGAAAAGCAGCGCTGGTTAGCTCTAGTGATGCTGTTTCTAGCCAAGGAGACCTTGGTGACATGGTACAAAGACCATTTATTTAGCTATTTAGGTATTTTCATGGTTTTTAGTTTATTCATGCTCTCTTGGCTTTTAAGGTCTTCTATGTAAAAGAGATTCAATGATGGAGTATAAGTTCTCTCTTGTTAGGTGTTTTCATGGTCTTTTGTTTATTCATGCTCTCTTGGCTTTTAAGGTCTGATATGAACTGTCAGCCTGTGGTTCGCACGTGGGAGCCTGTACTAGGCCACCTCCAGAAATCTTTAGTTGATATGAACTCTGTCTGTCAGCCCGTGGTTCGCATGTGGGATCCTGTACTAGGCCACCTCCAGAAATCTTTAGACATTCATAGATCATAACCCACCTAGCTGCTGTAAGCTAGTTCCTCCTTTTGAACATGAGGAGCATACTATGATTTTATCAGTATTTGCTGAATTACTTCTTTTGTTTTTTCCCTGAACTAGCTAAGAACTCCAGAACTAAATTCTGTAAGTGTGCCAGAGACTAATCCCCTAAGAGATCCTCTGAAGGATTCTGCTCTCATTTGCATCACGTTACTAATAAAGGTTGAGCTTTCTTCTCTTCTGGAGGTATTGCCTGGTCTTCCAGGCGTAGGATGAAACATAACATTGTCACCCAGAAATCCTCTAGCAACAATTATGGCTTAATGAAAACATTAAAAGTACTTTTTTTTTAATCTCCTCCTAGAATGCTGTAGCAAAGAATTTCCATCTCTGGCCTGGAAATTCGGCTTAATGAAAACATCAAAAGTACTTATTTTTAATTTCCTCCCAGAATGCTGTGGCAAAGAATTTCCATCTCTGGCCTGGAAATTTGACGGTGATCTAGTGCTTCTTTTTACTTGGAATGTTTTTCTTCTATTACCTAAAAAGAATAAGAGAGGTTACTTTGTAATATGATGATCAGGTTTACTTGGAGACTTCTTTTACCTTTATGTCAGAGCATTTTTAGTAAGTAGCACCACAGTGGGATTCTGCCAATAAAAAAAGCATTAAAAGGTCACAAACCCTTTCATGCTAGTATGTCAATCTTATAAAAACTAATGCATTTTTCACTAACATGTTCTGAGATAGTTGTGGTTGCACACTGGATTGCAGGAGGATTGCTAAATCATTACGTTCAAAGTATGTCTGACCTGCCTTTTATTAAGTGTTGCAGTGAATCCTAACATCATTCATAAACTTTAAGTAGGAGATGTTGAGTTGCCATTTTCAATTTTTATTTTGGTGTCTGAAGGCAAACTAGGTTTGCGTGGTTAGACTATACAATCATTCATCCTGTTCCTCCTTCTGCTTTCCCCCCATCCTGTTCTGACTCATACTTGCAAAGCCACTGGATTAGTCAATTTTAATCTGGTTTCACAAAGATTACAAGGTGCGGCTGGCATGAAGATGGGATCCTGGAAGTGTAGCATGCTAATTGATTGATCGGCAGGCGTGTACTGACCAACAAGTTCTCATCAGCTTTGGAGCCAGCCACAGCAAATGTTCTCTTTCTCAGTTGAGTGGTGGATGTAGATGCTGGTGGGGAAGGAGTATTCTGGGAAGAGATGGGGAAATTGTTACAGTTGGGGTGAGAGTAAGGGGTCGTAAGAGACCTGAAAGTTGAAGTTGGGATAGTTTTGTGAAGAAAGATAGGATTCAAGCTGGTTTAAAAGTAAAATATTAATAATAATGATTAAAAAAATCATTTCACATGTTTATTAGATGACTGATTTGTCTTCTGATGGAAGAACAAATGACAAAAGATAAGAAATATTAGTATTTCGTTTATAAACTAGATGAAAAATTTTTGTTCCTTTTTCTTTTAGGATTTTTTCCAGAGTCACTGGGAGCAGATTCACTTCAAATTCAGCTGCATAAAATGTTTTCTGTTTTAATGAAGAGGCATTGCTGGCCATTTGAAATATTTAACTCGTGTTGCTCTGTTTCAGCTGGAAGGTCACAACGAGCCAGTGATGCTGCAGGTATTCGTGGGTAACGACTCCGGTCGAGTGAAGCCCCACGGGTTCTACCAGGCCTGCAGAGTTACTGGGAGAAACACTACTCCCTGTAAAGAAGTGGACATCGAGGGGACTACTGTTATTGAGGTCGGACTGGACCCAAGGAGGTGTATTTTGTGGGTCGTGCTGCTCAGTATGAAGCAGTGCATGTGGATTAGTAGAATTGCAGAGTCGGGGGGAAGAAAAGAGGAAGCAGTGGTATGCACGCTTCACAAATGCAGCCTGTTTCCTGGATAGACTCTGATGCCTTCAAGTTTAAGCGTTGGTGGTCACTTGCTCTGAGGTACAAAAACTGTATGGTACACAGGACTGAACAGTATCCTCGGTCCTTCTGATCAAGGGGAAGGATCTGGATAGAGCACGTACAGTCAGGGATCCAGGGACTGTTTGCAGAGCTGGTTTCTCCAGCAAGCATTTAGCTGTTTTGTTTGTCTTGCTTCATTTTGAGAGGAGAAAAGGAGAACTGATGTAATTCACCTTACTCAAAGAGTGGAAAAAATGTTTGTGACCAGGATTGCCAGCCTGCTGAAGGAGAGCTTTACTGTAAGTTTGTCAGAGGATGGGAACCAAAGCCCAAAAGGAAAGGAGCAGCTACAAATAGAGGAGAAACATGAGGAAGAAGGCTACAAAGAGGTCTTTCACATTCCTGCTCAGAAGGGAAAACGTTCAAATACTGTCCTCCAGTGACTGCACACTAATGCACAGAGGGTGAATTTGCAGATCTTGTTTCTTCCCTGGTGCAGTCACAGGGCTGTGACTTGACTGGAATCACAGAGACTAGGGGTAGCCTGCATGGCTGGAACGCAGTTGTGGATGTGCCCAGCTGTTTAGAAAAAAGAAGAAATCATGTATCATACAGAGCAGTTTGCATGGACCTCCAGCATGAAATGGGAGCCTGACCTGTTGAGATCAGAGGAGGGAGAAAGCTCAGAGATAATGTTTTGGTATCTGTTACAGACTGCCTGACTGAGAAGATAATAGATGATGCTTTCTGTAGTCCCCTGCATACAGACCTCTCTTACCACGAGAGATTTCAACCATCTGTCCATCTGCAAGGGTGGACATAGTCTGGTGGAAGCAGTCAAAGAACTTGACTGTGCTTGCAAAGGTTTCCTAATGCAAATGGCAGAGGGGCTTACCAGGAGTAATGCTTTGCTTGACTTACACAAACACAAGATCTGATGTCAAATACCATCACAAAAGTTGAAGTGACCACGGTATGAATGTGAGGGTGTACACCGAACTGAGGACAGCACAGTGTTGCACACTGGAATTAAGGCAAATGGCATCTTGGTTGTACTGGGAGAAGTGTGGTCAGCAGGCTGAGCGAGTAGACCGCTATATTTGTTATCATACAAATAAGAAGGAGAAAATACATTTCCTTTCATGTTTTTTTCTTAGTTGTACCACTTTGAGAAAGCAGCAAAGCAGTTCTCAATCCAAAGTTATTTACCAGGTCCACAATGAAATATTTGTTTAGGATACAGCCCTTAAAATTTGTGCTAACTACTGCTGACAGTATAGAAGTATATTTATCTTTAAAGTCCAGTTCAACAGTGTTAGAAACATCTCCAACACTTCACTCAGTCCTCCTGAGTAGTGTAGGAATCCAGTGAAGTTTCATAAGGAAAGAATCCATTCATATAGTCCTGTTGCTATGGTGATTTAGTGCTCATTTATGTGAATTTTCTTAATGGGCCTTTGTTCATCTGAATTTCCTTTTAATTCCTTTCCCAGTTACCCTTTAGCACCCATCAGTGAAAATTCTGTTTGGAAGAGTCTCATGTTACTGAATTCCTGGAAGCTCAAGCTTGCTTAACCAGTAGGCACACTAATTCATACCCTGCATATACAAGACTGCCAGGGTTGGACAGACGAAATGAGTCAGTGGATTTTCAGGAAATCTGAGCTAGGGGAAAAAAATATATATAAAGGACAAGAGGTGTTTGGTTTTGTTTTATAATTTGGGGAGGGAGGGGTTGGGGTGTTTTAAAGGTGGGGAAGAATAGTGTAAAAATGTTGCTAGTTCAGTAGAGATCTGGTGTTTGCTCTTCTCTGGCAGCACCTGTGATAGGCAACCATTGAGATGCATCATTCTTAAGCAGACTGAGGAAAAAAACTAGGTTCTGTGGCCCTTTAAAGAAAACCGTGTTACTTGATGACTTAGAACTACAGCATCTACAATCAATACGCAACATTAAAATTGTATAAACCTTAGTCAAGTGGCTTGTCTGGCAAAAGAAAGATTATCCTGACTGGAAGGTGTCAGCAGAGGTATTCCAGCCATCAGTAGCAGATTTTCATGGTGTCTTGCTAACAGTATTGCGAAGCTGGAGCATTACCATCCAGATGATGAGAGATGCTCTTGCACACCTTTCATATCTTCTTCCAACAGGGACAGTGGGGAAGAAAAGCAGCGCTGGTTAGCTCTAGTGATGCTGTTTCTAGCCAAGGAGACCTTGGTGACATGGTACAAAGACCATTTATTTAGCTTTCTATGTAAAAGAGATTCAATGATGGAGTATAAGTTCTCTCTTGTTAGGTGTTTTCATGGTCTTTTGTTTATTCATGCTCTCTTGGCTTTTAAGGTCTTTGATATGAACTCTGTCTGTCAGCCCGTGGTTCGCATGTGGGATCCTGTACTAGGCCACCTCCAGAAATCTTTAGACATTCATAGATCATAACCCACCTAGCTGCTGTAAGCTAGTTCCTCCTTTTGAACATGAGGAGCATACTATGATTTTATCAGTATTTGCTGAATTACTTCTTTTGTTTTTTCCCTGGACTAGCTAAGAACTCCAGAACTAAATTCTGTAAGTGTGCCAGAGACTAATCCCCTAAGAGATCCTCTGAAGGATTCTGCTCTCATTTGCATCACGTTACTAATAAAGGTTGAGCTTTCTTCTCTTCTGGAGGTATTGCCTGGTCTTCCAGGCGTAGGATGAAACATAACATTGTCACCCAGAAATCCTCTAGCAACAATTACGGCTTAATGAAAACATTAAAAGTACTTTTTTTTGAATCTCCTCCTAGAATGCTGTAGCAAAGAATTTCCATCTCTGGCCTGGAAATTTGACAGTGATCTAGTGCTTCTTTTTACTTGGAATGTTTTTCTTCTATTACCTAAAAAGAATAAGAGAGGTTACTTTGTAATATGATGATCAGGTTTACTTGGAGACTTCTTTTACCTTTATGTCAGAGCATTTTTAGTAAGTAGCACCACAGTGGGATTCTGCCAATAAAAAAAGCATTAAAAGGTCACAAACCCTTTCATGCTAGTATGTCAATCTTATAAAAACTAATGCATTTTTCACTAACATGTTCTGAGATAGTTGTGGTTGCACACTGGATTGCAGGAGGATTGCTAAATCATTACGTTCAAAGTATGTCTGACCTGCCTTTTATTAAGTGTTGCAGTGAATCCTAACATCATTCATAAACTTTAAGTAGGAGATGTTAAGTTGCCATTTTCAATTTTTATTTTGGTGTCTGAAGGCAAACTAGGTTTGCGTGGTTAGACTATACAATCATTCATCCTGTTCCTCCTTCTGCTTTCCCCCCATCCTGTTCTGACTCATACTTGCAAAGCCACTGGATTAGTCAATTTTAATCTGGTTTCACAAAGATTACAAGGTGCGGCTGGCATGAAGATGGGATCCTGGAAGTGTAGCATGCTAATTGATTGATCGGCAGGCGTGTACTGACCAACAAGTTCTCATCAGCTTTGGAGCCAGCCACAGCAAATGTTCTCTTTCTCAGTTGAGTGGTGGATGTAGATGCTGGTGGGGAAGGAGTATTCTGGGAAGAGATGGGGAAATTGTTACAGTTGGGGTGAGAGTAAGGGGTCGTAAGAGACCTGAAAGTTGAAGTTGGGATAGTTTTGTGAAGAAAGATAGGATTCAAGCTGGTTTAAAAGTAAAATATTAATAATAATGATTAAAAAAATCATTTCACATGTTTATTAGATGACTGATTTGTCTTCTGATGGAAGAACAAATGACAAAAGATAAGAAATATTAGTATTTCGTTTATAAACTAGATGAAAAATTTTTGTTCCTTTTTCTTTTAGGATTTTTTCCAGAGTCACTGGGAGCAGATTCACTTCAAATTCAGCTGCATAAAATGTTTTCTGTTTTAATGAAGAGGCATTGCTGGCCATTTGAAATATTTAACTCGTGTTGCTCTGTTTCAGCTGGAAGGTCACAACGAGCCAGTGATGCTGCAGGTATTCGTGGGTAACGACTCCGGTCGAGTGAAGCCCCACGGGTTCTACCAGGCCTGCAGAGTTACTGGGAGAAACACTACTCCCTGTAAAGAAGTGGACATCGAGGGGACTACTGTTATTGAGGTCGGACTGGACCCAAGCAACAACATGACACTTGCGTGAGTTGCTTCTTTTAAAAAAAGTTTTCATTTATTAGCTCGTTTTCAGAAACTGATTTTTCTTTTTCAATTGGACTGGTTAGCAGTTAAAAATCTGACCATCTTGGCACACACCAGGCACTTAGTGAAGCTACATGTATTAAGGAAGAGTTTTAAATCGTGTTCTCAGTTTGTGTTTATTCTATGTAATGCTTAATTTGGTCTTTCCTAAAAGTTTATCAATTAACTTTGTTACATTAGTTTCATGTTCTGTTTGAACAATAATGTGCATATTCAAGCATTACGTCAGCTGTAAGCTGGTCACTGTTTCTATTAGTTGTCTTTTAACAAGTACAGAATTGCTAATGAGAAGAGGGAAGGAGAATATTGGGATCTTCAGATCCCTTTGGGTCCAAAAGGCTGGGAATTGTGGATAGTGAGGCTAAACGCTAGCTTTTCTTGTCTCTTGCTTTGCTTGTTCCATTTCTGTCGTTTCCACCAGATAGTCCTTTGTCATGGAAGCTTCCTGCTTTGCTGTCTTTACAGAGCTTGTCTAGTCAAGTATGGGCACTGTTTTGGAGAGTTTCCAGACGTGTGTAGGCAATGCACGGCTGCTGCTGAGAAGGGATGTGTTCTGTCTGATGGCAGTAATTAACTGTAGTCAATTGCTGAGCAAATGACCTCATCTACCTGTGTGGGTTAGATTTCCCAAGAACCTTTAGATACAAGCTTTTCATATGTATCTTAATATTTAGACAGGGAGTGATCTTCTTTCAAAGTACTCTTTTCAGTAGAATGTCTTTTAATGGGTATGTGGTTGAAAGCTGCCACTATTTTCTTAGAAGCTTGTCTTGTTTCAAGAGAAGAAATGTTTCTTCAATGTACAGTATCCGCTTCTTAAGCAGGATAATACAGTTTGCTAATAGACTGAATCAATTTGATTTTTTTGATATAAAATATATTCCCATGATAAGTCTGGAAACTACCTCTTAGAGAGTAATTTTATAATTGTTCTCAAGTGTTAATGTAAAAACATGCAAATATAGAGATACTAGAAAGGTGAATTTGGAATGATCTATGAACAAAAGTTTTGCCTAGGCTATTTTCTCAAAAGATGTCTTGATGTCTCAAAAGAAATCTTCCTAGTGCTTCAGTGATGCTGTAGCACCTCTCTGTTGATGGTAATGCCAGTGCCACCTTCTCAATCACACTCTCCCCTCCACTCCCTAGCTGTTTCTTTTTGGCCCTTTATGCAGCACAAAATTTTGTTCTACTCAAATTGGATATCAGGGGGTCCCCTGTGGTACTTGGATGTAGGGCCTAAGAACCTGGTAAATTTATAATATTCTTTTTCTTAACACATCGGGCTGTGTTTGAGTTGGTTTGTTTCTTGTTCAAAATCATTTTGCACCTAGCATGTCTTTCTGAAAGGTAGCACTGCATCAGTCTCTCACCCCGGCCCTGTATACATTTCCCATAGGACCACAGTTATGGTATGACCTATCTGTCACTTCCAAGTTCCACTGAGCATAAAAAAAATAATATGACTACAGTAAGTTTTCTTCTACTACTGCTTTAAGTGAACACAGAATATTTTGTAGTCATAATCTTACAAACTCAGATCTAGCTCCAGGAATGGAAGAATGAAGATCTGTGATTATCAACTGAATGCTTACCAGAATTACTTTGTTACATTGCATTTCCTGTTTTATTTATACTGCTTTCCTGTTCCTTCCTCCCATGATTCATCATCCAGATTATGCAAGGATGAATTGAAAACCAGGCTTTATAATGGGAAAGGTCATATAGAGATTTCATGTAAATAAAAAACATAATCTAACAATATTTCAGTAATTACTTCAAGAGTTTTGACTTTGTGGCTTGTGTAACTAGTTGAAAGATTATTGCAAGTGATGATGAACTTCTTAAACTCTATTAAACTCTCAACTATTTTGTGTTGTTAGGGTTGACTGCGTGGGAATACTGAAGCTGAGAAATGCTGATGTTGAAGCTAGGATAGGGATTGCTGGTTCCAAGAAAAAAAGCACACGTGCTAGGCTGGTATTTCGTGTTAACATCACTCGCAAAGATGGTTCAACTTTGACTCTTCAGACACCTTCTTCCCCAATTTTGTGCAGTAAGTATCAAAATTAAAAGTTTGTATTAGAGGACTCTGGATTTTAGTGTAATTGTCATAAAATCCTTGGGGGGGAAAAAACCTTCAGTGTTAATCTGTGATTGTTTGAGAATTGCTACGGCTAAGATCACAGGAATTGATTTTTATTTGGAGTGCAGATTAGTTAAATGACTAACCAGTACTTAAAAGCAGTTATAACTTTTATTAAATGAATTTTTGCCTTCTAAAAGGTCAGAATTTTTTACATGATTGCTTTGAACTTTTCGTATGACTTTTTTTGATACAGGTTTTAATCTCTTCTGTGTTGTCACATTCATCAGCATCCAGTGATAGAAGGGACTTACTAATAAGTTAGTAAGAATGGCTCTTTACAATCATGGTAGTTCATTGGGCCAGAGCCCGAATCTCTTCTGGTTCAGTGCAAGAATGAAACTTTTTATAGCTTTTTATTTAAAATGCTCTGCTTAGCACTGAGCACAGATGGCTGCACGGAATGGTTATGTTATACAGAACAACAGGGAAATGAAGTCAGAGGAGACTGCAATACATCAGGGGCTGCCTGTGCATATACCCTCTGTAGTGACTTCTATTTACAGGGAATTCTGTTCATCTGCCAAAGAGAAGAGATAGGGACACATGTTTAATACAGCTGTTGATGGGATTATTGGTACTTCTTGATGAACAAGATGATAGGAAAGCTTTATCTTCATGCGTGGAATATAGTATGATTATGCAAGCTGCTGTGTGCTTGTGTTGAGCTCTTTCCATTGTGTAAAAAGAAGTTATTGTTTTTAGGTTTTTTCTTTTTTCTAAACACTGTCAGTACCTATTGTGTCAGGGCTCCCATTCAACTCGTCTTAAACTACACTGCTCTGTTGCCAGTGAAAGAACAGATTGGAAGAGGAGATAATTAAAAACATGTGAGCTTCCACATCAGATACCACCATGCAATTCCAGTGCTGCAGGCAACGGGCGATTCGGCAGATGTGTCATGTAGCCTGTCTCTCCTTCCAGTGCTCTGCTCTCACAGAGAGCCCCTTTGCAAGATTTGGGGATAGCAGGAAACCCTGAAATGGGTCATAACCAAAGATGTGTCACTGCTGATGCAGGGGAGGACTCTCCTCTCTTCAGTCATCTTGTTTCTAAGCTTTAGGCAATGGTTTGATGTTTGGGGTGCTCTTCCAGGAAGACCTACTTGAGGTGTTCCCTTCCATCTTTTTTTCCTTCTCCTGCCATTTTTTTTTTTTTTTTCAAAATCTTTTGCTAAATTTTTCCAGTGGTGTAGTTCTCAGAACTACACATTTTTGTTGGAAAATACATAAGTACTTTTGCTAGAAATATGGTTGTCTCTGTAGCTCCATTCCAGTCAGTATAGCATTGTGGTATTTGATCTTCATTTTCAGATTTAAGAGGAAAAAAAAAAAAACATTTTCTGTAAAATCTCCAAAAGCTATTTCTGTATATATTTTGTTTGTATCATTAACTTACAGGTTAAAGATAAAATTATTTAAATCACAGCAGAAATGGGAATGGAAATTATGTAGTGTTTTCAATTCAAAACTTGCTATTGTAAGAAGAAGCTGAGAGTCTGAGATGTTTTACAGACTGATTTTAAGATAGGTCTAGATTCTAAAAAAGCTGTATTTGATGCACTGCCTGCTTAGCTTGTTGGTAAGGCAATTCCAATATTGGTTTATGGGTCCCTTGCAGTCTTCATTCTGTTGAATGCATCTGTTTATACCAGTAACATTAATAGCTGTGTTTTGAGATCTCCCCTGCAATGAGCAGGGTCATCTTCAACTAGATCAGGCTGCTCAGAGCTCTGTCCAACCTGATCTTGAATGTTTTCAGGGACGGGGCACCTACCACCTCTCTGGGCAAAATGGGCCAGTGTTTCAATATATGTTCTAGTGTTCCAGTGTAAATAAAGTTCTAAAAATAAATACAGTAAAAAGTAATTTGATTTAGTTTTTAGCAAGATGGGTTTTGGTCAGTTGTGAAGAAAATCTTCCTAATTGTGTAAATTGCTAAGAGACTGCCCAGCAATTTTATAGCATCTCCATTGCTGGAAGTCTAAAACAAAGGAACAAAATGCTCTGAAGAATGATGTGGGTAGAACCGTAAAGGTTGAGAGGGGAATTTTTTTTGAGGATCTTTCCAGACTTTTTTTTCCAGATTCTGTTATTCCCATGTCTTAACTTACTCTAAAGTTATGGTGACTTGCAGTAGCCAACCAAATAATGCTGGTACATATACACTGGCTGATCAACTGGGCATATAATTTTGTTGTTTAAGTTTCTTTTTTATATAAATCATCTCTTCCAGCACATTACGTCTGGTTTGTTTGCCACATACATCTTACTATGGATGTGTACCCTGATCTTCTCGTAATAAGGTTTACAATTTTCACTCACCAGAGCCCGTTTATGTTGTATTTTTTAGCTAATACTGCTGTCAAAGTTTCAATAATGTTCCTGAAACCATAGGAAAGATGCAGGCTCATTATTTAAAGCCTATGATTTAAATAGGCTTTGATAACTTGTTAGCAAACCTATATCCAGTTACTCTTTTCAGAAGTTCATGTGCCTTGAGCATATTTAGTAGTTGCGTAACGGTTGCCTAGGAACCTGCTGCAACAGTTGTAGAAAAATCCTTTCTGAAAGGTCATTAAATAATTTGGAGTGTTACAGTATGTATGTTGGTCTACGTAGTAAGCCCAGAGAATACTGTTATTAAACACTACAAGTGGGCCACGGAGGTGCAAAGCACAAGTACAAGCTTATGCCAGTAGGATTTTATGGTGAATGGAAAAGATGTTTGAGAAACCTTTATTAGAAACTGGAATTGTTTTATAACATATTAAATGTGACAAACTCAAAATACATTATTTTAGAATGTATGTCTCTATTTAAATTGTCTTTGAGGTTCGTTTTCACTTTGCGCATATGGTCTTAGTTGATTTATGGTTTAAGAAGCATAGAAATAGTTTGCAGCAAAGATAATTTGTAATAATGTTATATAAATCATTGTCTGAATCTCAGTGGCTGAGAGGCAGAGGTTTCCAGGGGTGTGTATCTGTAAGCTGTGTGTTCTTTGCTCGTTCGTAGGATATAAATTGATATAATCCCCAACTACAGAGATGCAATTCCTGCAAGCATTTGTATTAGCTGATGTTATATAGGTCTAGAAAGTCAGAGAATCATAGAATGGTTTGGGTCTGAAGGGACTGTAAAGATCATCAAGTTCCAGGCCCCCCTGCCATGGGCAGGGACACCTCCCACTAGAGCAGGTTGCTCAAAGCCCTGGGTTAGTTAGTTCTTGCACCAGCCAGAAAGCTACGTCATGTAAAAAAAATCTGTGAAAAAACAGGTAATATGGGAACTAGTAAAGATCATCAAGTTCCACGCCCCCCTGCCATGGGCAGGGACACCTCCCACTAGAGCAGGTTGCTCAAAGCCCTGGGTTAGTTAGTTCTTGCACCAGCCAGAAAGCTACGTCATGTAAAAAAAATCTGTGAAAAAACAGGTAATATGGGAACTACTACTTCTACCCTCTTGCATAGCAGAACAAAATAAGCTTTCTAAAAATGTCCTTTTAGCTTAAGGATGGATTTGTGTGGGAAGAGTCATTAAAGATCCCCTAGTACTAACCCAAAAGCTTTTTGTTCTAGATGTTAATATCTTCTTGATTTCAAACTATGTGTTTTTTCAATTGCAGCTCAACCAGCAGGAGTTCCAGAGATCCTAAAGAAAAGTCTGCACAGTTGTTCAGTGAAGGGTGAAGAGGAAGTTTTTCTGATTGGCAAGAATTTCCTAAAGGGAACAAAAGTGATTTTCCAAGAGAATGTTTCTGGTTAGTGTGAAAGCAGTAATGCTTGGGGTGCTGAAGAGAACCTATTTGGGCTTAGGTTGGTTAATAAGGTTTAGCTGTAGAGAACAAACTGAGAGGCAGAATCAAAGGCACTAAAATAAATTGCTTTATTGCTTTATATGGATGTGCAATCAATTATGCTTTTTAACTTTTGTTTAGATGAGAATTCTTGGAAGGCAGAAGCTGAAATAGACATGGAATTATTTCATCAGGTACTTAAGTATTTTTATTATTATTACCAAAAAAAGACTCTGACTCCGTTTCCAAAGAAAAATTGAATAAGCCTTTCCCTCTTTCTGTGTATTTCTCAAAATAATACTCCTTTTTGTCAAGTAAGTTCTTTAGAGAGTCTGGTGGAATGGCATTGTTTTGGGTTTACACAAGTATAATTGTTCAATTTCTAATTGAGAACTTAGATGCCGCAGTAGGAGCATGGTATCTGAACTTGGTGAGCAAGTTTGTGCCCTTACATACAATGTAATTAAAAGACCTAATAAAGTTTTCCAGCAGCTTTCCTAAGGACACATTAGATTACAACTTATTGTGTGTATACTTGACTGAATTTCTGTTCTGCTTTCAAATGTGCAAAATATTTGTTTATTCTTTTTGACACAACTAAGTGTCTTTAAGGACTATTGGCCTGAAACTAGAGAAGTTTAGATGTAAATAATGTCTGACAAATGTCATCTTGCTCCCACCTCTGAAGGCAGTATTCCACCATGTGCTGGTAGAAATGATTTCTCACTTCTAGTGGGGTAGATAGTTGGGGAATAGACAGATCACTCACCGTTAATACTGTTTGATGAATGATTACCAGCCTATTTTTTGATGTCTGCTCAGTCTTAAATCCGCTTAAGTGTAACACGAAACTGCATCCTCCATCTGTTCACACTGAATACAAAGATCTGATTCAGCAGAACAGTGAAGCTACTTGAGTCCAGCAGAATTTGATGGCAAACTGATTGCAGTTCAGTAAGGCATGTTAGGCATAAGCTTATGTTTAAAGTGCTGGACTTTATATATCTTTCCTTTCTTCACTTTCTATTTAAGCTGTAAGTTGCCAATGAGGATCCATATAGGCAGATTATTCAATTATCTCTTCTAGCACAAATTAGTTACTGAAACTGTAACCTGATTACGATTCCCCCAGTGTCTTTGTTTTTTATGGTATTTTGTCTGTCTGTTTTGATGGATGTTAGTACAATTAAGGTCAATAGTAACAAAGTAAGATTTCTAATGTGGTTTGGTTTTTTTTCTCATTATTATTTTGCATTGCAGAATCACCTTATTGTAAAGGTGCCACCATATCACGACCAGCAAATAACCTCAGCTGTTTCTGTGGGAATATATGTGGTGACCAATGCTGGAAGATCACACGATGTGCAACCATTTACGTACACTCCAGATACATGTAAGTAAAATAGAAAACTGAGGGAAGGAATGAACAGTTTTATCTCATTTCATCTCATTTCTGATTTCATAATATTTAGTCCATACAGCAGAAGCGTTAAGTAACGTGGATCTTTTCAAACTCTTCTTGCTGTCAAGGTTTGCTATGTTAAATAATAAAATCTAAAGGCTTGGGTTTTCTCATTTGTGTCAAGTAGCTCAAATTTCAGCTGCATGGAGACAGCTGTTCTTATAAAGTAGCATCCATTTCTAGTATCAGGTTCAAAATTGAGCAGGAGAAAAAGTAGACATGCTACATAGAGCACACCAAATATAACCAAAAACCAGCACCAAGCTTTATCCTAAGGAATGTTGACATTTGACCATATAATGTATTTTTATTTTTCTATATTACAATACACAGTGCGATTGCTGACTGGCTCTTTCATTTTTTGGAAGTGAAAATGACATTTTGGGCACTGTGATCACTGGTGCATTCACAGCCACAAACAGAAAGTTTATGTACAACTCAGAATGTTTCTCTGGGTTTCAAAGAACCCTAATTTCTTTAAGATATAACTAATTGTTTTGGTTTGCTTTGTTGGTTTTTTTTTTCTTGTTTGTTGTTTTAACATAAGGAAGTTTCAATGTGTTTTGTCTCAACAGCTGGTACTCTGAATGTTAACGTGAAGAAGGAAATCTCCAGCCCAGCCCATCATTGTTCTTTTGAAGAGGCTATAAAAGGTACTAAATTGATTCTTATCATTGTTGTTAATGATTTAACTATAAATTCCTACCCAAATTTGGAGTTATGAATCAGACATCCTGTGAAGATAAGTCTGTGCATATAAAATCTGGCCGTATTCTTACACTGAGGTTTATTTTCTGATTCTGAATATTTTAATTCAGCTGTATTCTCAGTATATTTTAACATGTTCTAGTATAGAACAAAAACTTTGCAAAAAAAAAAAAAAAAAGAGTATTTTGTATTCATGCCACAGGCCCAGCAGCCTAATCTTCATTTAATACACTTGCAAGGGAAGAAAAAAAAGAAAGACTAAAATGGCAGTTAATACGAATTATTTAGAAACTGTCTAATGGTAATTTAAGCAAAAACACACATAAAGGTGTGTGTGGGGGGAGAGCGGAGTACTGAAAACATGAACGTGCCCACTTGGTATTTTTCAGAAGCTGTCCAGTGGTTTTATGAGACTGCTATCAGTGCGTCTAGTTAAGAGTGCTAATTCTGGCAATTTCAATTTATTCCCTTCAGTGAGGTGCCGTGGTTTTGTGGGTTTTTTTGTTTGTTTGTTTCTGACCATGCAAGGTTTGTCACTTTGTTCTAAGTTTGCCTGGGGTTTAAGTGTGAAGTGAATTGATCCTTCTGATATTGAAATAAAGTAGAGGAAGGAAATGTTTTCTAGTTGATTGTTAAAGCTGTGGTACTGTACAAAGCTTAATGGAAATTTCCATAACCGGCTCTGGAGAAAGCAGGTTGAAAGGTAAGCAAATTAACAATGTGATCACAAGTTTGATAGGAATCCGTAGCTTCAGGTTAAAATGGTGAAGCTCATGTTTGAAGTTAATAGCTTGGTCTTGGCAGGCGATATATTTACAAGTTGACTTTACAGCTTGTTAGGGAGGATAATACAAGATACTATGAGTTTCAACCTGCAGAGAGTATTTGGAGGAGAAATATGTGAAAATATTTAGGGCAATGAAACAACATGATAAAAGGACTGGTAAGACTTCTAGTAGCAAGATTGAAAAGAAGAGGATAATAATAACTGATGTATCAGGCCAAGCCTGCCATCCATTTAGACTTGTACAGAGGCTTAACTAAGGGAATATACCAGCTGCTTCAGGAGAATATCTGCTGTGCATAAGAAAACAACATGCTGTTTCTGTTGCTTCGTGTCTTCCATTTGAGGCAATAAATCTTAATTTACTTTCCTGGGTGGGTTTTCTGCTAGCCAGCTCCTTTTTGACAGTTCATTCCTTTACCTATTCTACTGTAGGTTGATAATGAATCAGAGGTCAGACAGTTTCATCTGCTTTATGTACTTTGTCTCTGCACATGTCCCAACCCGTCTTTCCTCACTGTTCTGAAATCGTAAAGACCAGGTGGGGATCCAGCAGGCTGCCACGTCCTTCCTGTTTCCTTTCACTGGGAGCAAAATCCTAGAATTCATAATTTCTTAAGTGGCATCATTTCCAGCAGCCCTGGCCAAATAGAATAAACTGTTGTTGGCAGGGACACGTACAGTTACGTACTGAGCTACAAGGCCTTTCTCTTCCTATCACTGGCAATTTGAATATTTGTCTCAAGTATCTGTGAATATTCCTTAAAATAATTTCTATTGCAACATCTGCATATGTAAGAAAACAAAACATGGCTTCCCAAAGCCGTTAGAGATTCTTGGCTCTAACATTTTAAGAGACTGCAGATTTGACAGACTTCAATGGCACATTATGTTTCAAGACAACTAATTTATAAATCTAAGCTGTTCTGTAGAACTTGATGAAGATGAAGGTGTATGGACAACCATGTAGTTCAGGTCTTCGCCTTCTAAGATGGAAGTAGCGCTGGAGTGTTGTTAAGTGGTTAATGATGGTTTCAGTTGCCAGCTTTGGGAGAAAAGGGAAAGAGGGTGTGTATGCCTTGATAAGATGGTAACTATTGAGAGGTTCTAAACCAAGCCTATTACAAAAACATAGTAAAAGACTAAAACCAACAATGTTTCTTTGCTTTTGAAACTTCTTTTTCATGATTCATCTCAGGGTTTTTTCGTTCTTCCCACCAAAGATGGTGCTGTGAACGAACATGCCACTGCTAGAATCTGATCTGTGTACCATTGGGATTGTTTTTTAATTGCTTGCTTATTTTTTTTCTTTATTTTTTTTGATGAACGCAACATGATTAAGCACATAGAAGAGAAAAGCTTCTAAATTGTGCCTATGGTAATAGAAAAACACTGACTGCTGTCTTTAAATGCACTGTATGACTAGCTGTCCTGAAGTAGACCTATTTTAGAATAGTCTCACTCAAATTGCATTCCCTGCCAGCAGCACAGCCCAGCACGTCAGGTCATGGGGCTTCTGGAGCCACCCCAAACCTGTGAGTTAGCAGAAGGAGGGAAAGAGTTTATTTGGCTGTGGGTATATTGACAACTGTTGCCATACTGACAGCTGAGAATTTATTGCTAGACAGAAAATTACATTTCAGGAGGGTGTCTTCCATTTTACATAAAATAAACACACAAGGACAGTTACTGAGGACGTGGCATCCTGTTGATATAAATTTCCAGTAATTTTACTGCCACGTTGTTGCAGGATTTAAATTTGTTTAAAGCATGGAGGTGTGTTGCTTTATATTGAAGATTAATTCTTTAACTTACTTTAAAAAGTACTTATGGAACTGGGTTTTTTACAGGCTTTCCTGTTGGTTTGTTTTAAGCTCAATTTCAGCAGTATTTGAAATCAAGAAAACTAATTTTATTTACAGCAAAAATCTCAGCTTATGTAATGTTTCTTTATGTGGTTCAGGAAAAATTAAAAATAAAACTAAAAATATCTAATTAATTTTAAGAAGCCACCTTTCTACTTAAAAAAAAAAAATAGAAAAAATAGACATTGGAAAGGCAAAATAACAACATGCTCTTGCAGCAGAGCTGGCATGCAGATTTATCAAGTGTTGGCTTGATTAGTCCTTTAACAAAGTAAAAATACAGTCTGAATGCTTTGAGCACTCTGTTCACATGGTTATCTGAAAACAGACATTTTTCAAAATGAAATAGAGAAGTTGTACAGTTAAAGTGTAGTAAAGTTTAAAATCTGATAATTTGTGGAAAGATGTCTTTTATGCTTGTAGTTTAAGCTGTTGGTGGATGGCTGTCCTGGTCTGGAAAGATATGAAATGAAAGAAAACCAAAATTTTGGCATTGCCATTAGCCTTAAAAATAACCTTTGAAGGTTTGAGATTTTTTTCTAGGATCATTTGAAGTATTCAAATGATTGCAATAGTCCCTCTGCATGTTACTGTCTAACATCAGAATGAGAGCTCTTATGGTAGCTCTGAAAAGTAAGATGGGAAGCTGGCCACCACTGGGAACCTGCTCTTTGTATGGTGAATGTTAACATTTCATTGCCTTTCTGTTGTTTTTATTTGTGACTGCAGCAGTGAAAGCCACTGGTTGTAACCTGGAGAAGGTAAACATTCTTCCTAGTGCCTTGATAACTCCACTCATGCCAAGCAGTATGATTAAGAATGAAGATGTGGCTCCAATGGAAGTAAGTGCAGAAAAAAGATCTCCCCCTGTATTCAAGGTAAGTTTGATTGTGATCTGCAGACAGTAGCTTTAATAGTCTTAGTTACATTTACCCACCAGTCCATGTTCTAATAGTGGAGAAGAGCAACACACAGGGAAAATATGTCTGAGATTGGTCTGGGCAAACTGTGATCAGAGAGCATGATTGAAATAATAGACAATTTCCTTTGGAAGTAACTTATCTTGTTCCTGCATGCAAATGGATTGGTTAGTGATGCTATGATGTAATTTTTTTTTTTTCCATGTGACATAGAACTAGTAAATTACTGTAAGAATATTATTTTAGTCACTTCTAGCATTGCTATCATTAGATTGTACCTTGACTCCTTCCTTGAAGTAGCGTTTCCACTGCTCATCATTTGCTCCCTTGTTTGGGGAAATCTTTCATCTGAACGTAGTGGATTGGTAGAAATTTTGTAAGCACAACCTGAGTAAGCTTACAAATTGCTTAATGTATTGTTCTTTTCAGGCTTCAAATGTGGTTGGACCAACTCAACAAACATTGGAAAACAGTATGTCCGGCATATCAACTTCTGCTTCCCATTTACCTTCTGAAAATGAAAACCAGCAACAAATACAGCCGAAGGTGTATAATGCAGAGACACTAACTACTATCCAAACGCAGGACATTTCCCAGCCTGGTAGCTTTTCAGCAGTCTCTGCTCCAGGTCAGCTGCAGAACAGCGATGCGTTACTGCAGCAAGCTGCACAGTTCCAAACAAGAGATTCCCAAACTAGGGAAGTCTTGCAATCAGATGGCACAGTGGTCACTTTGTCACAATTAACTGATGCATCACAACAACAGCAGTCTACACTCTCAGAACCAGCACAGGCATTGCAGCAACAGATTTCATCAAGTATTTTCTCATCGGCAAGCGGCGTGAGTCAGTTACAGAACACTATACAGCAACTCCAAGCTGGGAATTTTCCAACTAACACTGCCACTGGCAGCAATGGAAACGTTGACTTGGTGCAACAGGTATTGGAAGCTCAACAGCAGTTGTCTTCTGTTTTATTTTCTGGTTCAGACAGCAGTGAGGATGTTCAAGATCAGCTAAACGCAGATATCTTTCAGCAAGTTAGCCAGATACAAAATAGTGTCAATTCTGGGATATTCTCCTCATCAGACACAGCTGTCCATTCCAGACCAGAGAATCTTTTGCCTGGACGAGCTGAAAATGTTCACTCACAGCCTGAAAATGCACTGTCCAATCAACAGCAGCAACAACAGCAGCAGCAGCAGCAGGCGATGGAGACTTCTGCAGCAATGGTGATAGGAATCCAACAGAACATTTGCCAAGCTGCAACACAGATGCAGTCCGATTTGTTCTCCTCGACAACGTCAGGGAATGGAGCCCTCCAGCAGTCGCCTGTTTACCAGCAGGCTTCTCACATAATGAGTGGGTTATCAACAAGCGAAGACATGCAAATGCAGTGTGAAATATTCTCTTCATCTCCTGGTGTTTCTGGAAGTGAGACTACTCCTGCTGCTCAGCAGCAGGTCTCCAACAATGGACCTACTATGTTTCAGGCATCAAATTCTGCAGATGGAGAAGAAGCTTCAGGCCAGAGTAAACAGATGCAAAGTACCGTATTTCAGACCATGGTTCAGATGCAGCATAGTGGAGAAAGTCAATCTCAAGTTAATCTCTTTTCATCTACCAAAAACATGATGACCGTTCAGGCAAGTGGAACTCAACAACAAGGAGGTGCTCTCTTCCAGCAGGGCGGAGAAATCATGTCTATTCAGTCGGGAAGCTTTATGCAGCAGTCTCCACATTCACAAGCTCAGCTTTTCCACTCGCAGAATCCTATCGGTGATGCTCAAAATATATCACAGGAAGCACAAGGCTCTATTTTTCACAGTCCAAATTCCATTGTCCACAACCAGACCAGTACTAATTCCTCAGATCAGCTGCAGCCTCCGATGTTCCACTCGCAGAACACCATGGGTGTATTACAGAGCTCTTCAGTTCCTCAAGACCAGCAGTCTGCTAACATGTTCCTCTCCCAGAGTTCAATGAACAACCCTGCAACTCAGGAAGAACAGATGTCATTCTTTACAAGCCCAAATTCCATTTCTCCTCTTCAGACAGCAACAAACACTGAACAGCAGACTTCTTTCCAGCAGCAGACACAGATCTCTCACATCCAGAGTTCTATGCTTCCCCAGGAACAGCCCCAGACTCAGCCTGCTCAGCAAGGTTTGTTTCAGTCTCAAGTGTCATTAGGCTCCATGCAGTCCAGTTCAATTCCCCAGAACCAACAAGGAGCCATCTTCCAGCCTCAGCATTCGATGGTTGCTATTCAGAGTAGTCCTCCGTCTCAAGAACAGCAGCAGCAGCAACAGCAGAACATGATGTTCAGTAATCAAAATGCAATGGGTACAATTGCATCTCAAAAGCAGAACATGATTTTCAATCCAAATCAAAACCCAGTTACCAATCAGGAGCAACAAGGCCAGTCCATTTTTCATCCACAGACTAACATGGCATCAATGAACCAGGAGCAGCAGCCCATGCAATTCCAGAGTCAGACTACAGTGTCTTCTCTTCAGAATCCTGGATCCAACCAGGCTGAAGCACAGCAGCCAGCCATCTTCCATAACTCGCCCCAGATTCAGTTGGTCCAAGGGTCACCAAGTTCTCAAGAGCAACAAGTCACCCTCTTCATCTCTTCAGCTTCCATGTCTGCCTTGCAGAACAGTATGAGCCAGCAAGAGCTGCAGCAGTCTCCTATGTACTCTTCTCAAAACAGCATGGCAGGAATGCAAGGAACTGCTTCCCCTCCACAGCAACAAGCTTCTTTATTTCACAACACAGCGGGAGGTGCTATCAACCAGCTGCAGAATTCTCCTGCTTCATCTCAGCAAACATCAGGAATATTCCTGTTTGGCATTCAAAACAGTAAGTGGTAGATGCCCAATTTATGGTTTAGAAGAGCTACTAATTGGAGTCTGTGAGACAATTGTTCAGTTCTAAAATATTTTTTAAAAATAATAAAATTCTGGAATAAGTAATGTAGCAGTACAATTGAGAATATACATTAGTCTTCTCACATTTAGGATTAACGTGTGACAAAACTACCTTAGAATTGTGTGTGTCTATATAGAAATAAGTATATCTATAAATACATATAAATAGCATTAACGTGTGACAAAACCACCTTAGAATTGTGTGTGTCTATACAGAAATAAGTATATCTATAAATACATATAAAATATTATTAATAACACATGCAAATATTTTTAACAAGTACACACATGTTAAAAAAATGTGCTTATGCTCTCTTAAGACAGCTCCACTAATCTTTGTCTTGCTGCATTTTGTTTCCACGATTTATGCAATGACTTTCTCCACACATTGTTGAAGAAAAGCAAAGATTTTAGAAGTCCAGAAGAGAGTCTGTTGAAGTGTATTTGAAACCCCTTTAATTTTATAAGCCTGCAATTTTCCATATCTCATCTCTGAATCTAGGGTCTGTGACAAGTTCTTTGGGTCGTAGATCCTTTCATCTGCCTGTAAAGGGCTGTATGTTCCTGTGAAATTCCAGAAGTAACAGATGCAGATGATGATTATAGTATCTTAAAAAAGATCTGGACAGAAAGCCATAGCTGTGTGCTTGGCCTGTGGTTACACCTGAATATGTACTTTGTTGTATGAACTCTTTGACAATCAGGCCATATACACCCAAGCCTTTCCATGAAGCTGAAGATAATGATAGGAGAATGTGACACCATTTGCAGATTTATAGGAGGAGCTAGTGGATACTTTGAACTGAAGATGACACATCTGTAATTAACTCAACACTTATGCCATGCATTCTGGTTTTCTTCTAGCTAAGTATTGCCCTCTGGGGTGTTAACAGTCTTTGGTCATAAAGACAGTGTCCACATATTCAATATGTACACCTTGACCTTGTGCTTACACCCTGAGAGAGTAATGACCAAAGGTGGTCATGTGAACAGAAGTGCAAGTAACTTTCTACACAGTTTATAGTCGATATATGTAAAGAAGTTGGCTAATTCACTGCATGTATTAACCCAATTTAAACGGTCCTTTGTTCTTCCCTCCCTGCTTCACAGACTGTGGGCAGCTGCTGACTTCTGGACCAGCTTCGTTGCCGGATGAGTTGATGGCTATCAGTCAGCCAGGTCAGCCACAGAGCGAGGGACAAGCGGCAGTGCCAACGCTTCTCTCCCAGCAGATATCTGAGACTCCTCCACTACCCTCAGCTATGGCAACCAATCAGAATATTGAGAAAATAGATGATCTGCTTGTGTCGTTGCAAAACCAGGGGAACAATATGGCTGGCTCGTTTTAATTAGTCAAGTAAGTAGCGTATTTCGGTTTTGTGGTTCATTCCTGCCACATATACTTTTGTTCAGTAAGTCTTTACTTGGGAGCATAACACCATACTCAAAGGGATCAGCTAAATTACCAGTATTGCTGAATTCAGAATACCAGTGGCTAGAATGAAGAGTTATTAAAAACAGTCAGAGGTTGGAATTTGTGTGAAGCAGTTGAGATGGGGTCTTGTCATTCAGTTGCTGTATGTTTTGTCATCTGCTGTTACCGTCTCGTACTTCACTAGGAAGCAGAGCAGATCACCAACAGCTTGGCAGATAAAAGTGTTATGAAATATGACTGTAGTTAAAAAGTTAAGGCTTATTGAGTAAAGAACATCTCAAGTCTGTACTATTCTGAGGTTGCCCCCTGGGTTACAATAACGTAATGTCGGTAGAATATGGCAGCTATTGAGATTGTGCCACATGCTGAGTCTTTGTTAAAGTGAGCTGTCACAGTCGGCTGTTACTAGGAAACGTTCTGCTCTTAGAAGGTGCCTTTTTGAGAGGTGAAAGAGGTTTTGACTACAAATTAGTTCCAAGTACCAGGAGGACTCTGGAATCTGGTATTGTCCACAGTGTGTAACATGGCTCTAGTTAACTGTGCTGCCATCCTAAATCCTCCGTGAGTTTCACTTCAGTGATATACTTCATTTTCTAATCTAAACTGTTTTGCACACAAAGTTATGAACTTTAAAAAAAAAATAAATAAATTGAAGGAGAGTAATCCTCTCTATGAGAGAGTGCTGTGTTCTGATACTCGTAATTTTGTGTCTGCTTGCAAAGCACACTTTGAAGGTGAAGGAACTATGTAGAAGACAATGACTTTTGTCAGTTATGCCTAACCTTTTCACTTGCTTGTTTGTTCCTGCAGAAAATCTGTGAAGAAAAAAGCGATGATTTCCCAGATCCTCTCAGACCTTCCGACTCTGGATTAGGCTGTGTGGAACTGATTGCTTCTGTCAAAAAGTGGCCCTCTTCTCTAAAGAGCACACACGTGGCCAATTGCAGCGTCCAGCACCTAAAGCTATGACCATAGTATTTGGGATTTGTAGTGCCAATAATGCTGAAAAGCTATGCTTTGTTTTAACTAGGGCATGGGATTGTACTGTTACTAGATTCCTAAACCTCATTAACAGTGGGGTGCTCTTTCAATTTAAAGCATATCTGGTCAGTTATTATTGTTATTAGAAGGTAATACATGTTACCACGTTTACTCTTTTTTTCCTTCCTCCTCTTCCTTCTTCACATCCCGTTTTGACTAGAAAAGCTTGTGAAGCAGAAACATCAAATGCCTGTGACGTGAGCTCGTAGGTGTCAGAAAGTGAAGGGATCACAGGTTTTACAGTTGAGTGGGAGAGCTAATACTGCTATTTGTTAATTGCAGTAGGTGGCAATGAAAAATATTGATAACTGTAATACACAAGCAGAGAACTGCTTGCTGCTGTAGATAGCCAGAGGTGGGCGCTTCCCATCTGAGAATGTGATTAATGGTTTTCCATGTCTCTTACGTGTAACTGTACATAGAGCAAGGCTTTGGTGGCTCTAACAAAGTGAAGAAATGAAGGGGAACTTTGAATTAAATTGTGCTCTTAAAATCTTATCCTCTAAAATACCTTCAGTTTGAAAGGAACATTCTGCCTGGCTGAGGAGAGAACTCTGTGTCTCTCACTGTATGGGTTAGAACTCTGGAAAGCTGCATTAGCCATTCTCAACCCGGCCTTCTCCCTTTCGTTCTTTCCATGGTTTTCCTTCTCTCTCCTTCAGTTTTTTTAAAAAAGCATAAATATCCTACTGGCTTTGAGGATCAGAAGCAGCTTTTAGGAATCAATGGCATTAAATTGCTTAGTCAGGAGGAGCTTTGACAAATAATCAAGGATTAAGGAGAAAGAGGAAGCAATTTCTCCACCACCTTCTCAATGCAGAAATCCCCCTTAACCAGTCATTTTCCAGCTGTCACTGATGTAAATCTTCAGCTTGACTTTACTCCAAGTAGGGGGCAAATTACATCATTTCTGAGCATTCTTGAAAATTTCACTTCATCCTGAGCTGTTGCATCTTTGTAGCATATTAAGCTCATTGCAGTTTTGAAGTGATTTTTTTTTTAAATACCTACAATCCCCAAGTCTAGTTTCGAGATCGTCATGTCTCAATTTAAAAAAAAAATTTAAAAAAAAAAAAATATAATTGACTGATGTTACAGAATGTAAAAACAACCCACTCCAGACCATGCAGTTGTATTGTGAGGCGTGTGAATTTTTTTGGGTGCTCCAACTATCCGGACAGTTTTGTGATATCTCACTACAGCCTCATTCAGATACTCGTTTCTTCTCCTTCTGCACGTAGAAAGCTGTTGCTGCGGTTAGAGCCAAACAGCTGTCATGTATGGCTATTATGCCTTGGTAGAGTGTAGTTGGTATCATGTCATTTTTTTCATTTTTGTTATTTTAAATAACAAAGAATAGTCTGTAAATGGTTTTTAAGTTACTCTAGTCTGTTTACTGTGTGTTTTTTCCCTTAACTCGTGTGCTTAGTTGAGCCGTGTAGAGTTTTTTGTTTGTTTTAATGGTTTTTCCTGTTTGTCGGTCTGTCATAACGTTCACTTTCTCTTTCTGTCTCTCTCTTTCTCTCTCTCATTGAGAGGCATTGAATTACGTTTTCAGTAGTAAGGCTTCTTGCCGATATGAAGGGAACTTTTCAGAAAGAGACCTGCTCTGGGTCATTTAATTTTGAATACAGTTTTCAATCGTTCAAGTTTTGGATGGTTTATATCTAATGTGTGTTTCATTTTTTTGGAAAGCTATATTTTGTATTTAGGAAATGGTATACTATTTTGCTATTTGTACTGAGTGAGTACATTGGCATAAATATAAAAATTTATATATATACATATATATAAAATATTCTTTTTGCCACACATTTTTGTGGTAAATTTGTGAGTTTGTCTGATGTTCTACCACAACGTGGCGTCTGATAACAGTGGGGTGGGGTGGGGTTTGTTATGTCTTTATTGAGTATTTAAGTACTTTTTGCAACATAAATAACTTGTTCATCTCTCGCCATTCCATCAGGCAATTTCTTGTTCCAACTGGCTATGAGAAGCTTCACTGTGTGTTTTGATGTGTCTGTCACTCAGCAATACGATCTAGTGAGGAAACCCGTAGGCATTTAGGCGTATATAAGATAACGGGGTTTCATTCAGAATGAGCCATTCAGCTTTTATCCACTATCATTGTCTATTTAATATTTTATTATTAGCGCCTCTGTGTTTTAACTCTTAATTTATGATTATGCTAAAATGTTTAAAATTTTAATCATGATAAAAAGAATTCCCTGCTTCATAATGTCCAGAGCGGCTTTATAACCCTGAACCATACTTTTTCTTTCTGTGATTTTTTTTTTATTATTTTTTTTTTCCTGCTAAGACAAAATATTAACAAAATCCTCTAATGGTTCATGACGTGAGAACAAGGATCTTGCAGCATTGACTAAATGCTATATGAGGCTATGTAGAAGACTGAGAATTATGGACCGAAACAACTTCCAGATGGTCGTGGAAGTCGATAGCCAGTTATTCAAAAATGAACTGGTGGCTTTTGCAGGATGGCAATCCCAGGACAAGCTGTTGGGTGTCACCTGGGGCCTTCATACACAGAAGAAGTAATAGGAATGATCCATTCACTTGTGTGCTGCTTCAATTTGTTCCGTTGTTCCGAAAGGGTGTATCCTTACGTTGAAGTGCTGTTGTTCAGTGCCAAGTCACCAGGGACCAATTCTCCATTTAACAAGATGGGTGTCCAAAAGAGAACTTCATACCAAGACTGCTACAGCTCCAGGGGAAGGGTATGTTTGAATTGTGTGCGTATTTTTGGTTGCTTATGAAGAGAAGAGAAAAAAAAAAATTGTAAAAAAAAAATAAATCTAAAAAAAAAAAAAAGGGCTGTGCTATCACATTTTTCACTTCGGGATAACACCTGTCTATTCCTGTGTTAAATTTATCTTGTTCATTTTAGGTCAATGTTTAAATGTACAACACTTTGAACACGTAATTTGGTTACAAAAAGTATTTGTCTTATGAATGAAGGGATCGCTCAGCGGTTGATTAGTGCTGGAACTGCTGCTTGCAGACAGCTCTTACAGAGGATAAAGAGAGGTTTGATCGGCCAATAAAGAGCTTAAAGACAGGCTGCGGGATTTCATGGCAGAAAGACCCAAGAACAGTGTGAGCCACATTTGTGTTTTATCTGAGTCCTGAAGGTTTACCATCTAAGCAGTTGATACTGATAATTGGAGCTTACTCTGCCTTTTGTTTTCCCCTCCATCCCTGTGTTTACTCCTCCACGCGCTGGCACTGCTGCCTGTGAGCACTATCGGGTCTAGTCCGTTTTGCTTGAGAAAGAAAATAGTGAGACATAAGTCTCTCCAATTTTAAAGTTCCTGACATGACTGTAACGGGGGAGTTACTGTCATATCCCTATAGAAGACATCAGTAGGAGAAAAATGAAAACCTGCAGAGCTGCATTGCTGGGATGGGGTTTCTGTATCTTGTTTTTTCTGCTGCTTGACCTCGCTCTTAAAGAATTGTTCAGTCTGATCCTCTGTATTAAGTGTGGGCTGCGCTCTCTGGTTGTACATACACCTCTGCAGCCCCCGTGGCCCCCTCTCTGCGCAGCATCCCTGGCACGTGGTGGTTTACACAACAGTGATTTTTTGGCACAGATGAAAACCCAGGGAGAGGGACCTGCTCGCCACCAGGCGGGACTTCTGCATGTGTTCTCTTGTCCACTTATGTACTCTGTGTGTGTATGTGTATAAAAAACCCCACCATATAAATAACACATACTACAGAGTTATTAACATCCCCTCTGGTGGGAAGTTACTGGTGCTTTGTGCTTAATTATCAAGTCCATGTTTTTTTTTTATATTAATTGCCTCTCGACTGTCTGATCTTTCAGCAGTTATTCAAGCCAAATGCTGTGCTATTATTTTAACAGAAAACCAGTTCAAGAAATAATTTCAGCCTTGCTGTTTCAAAGTGGATGTTTAATCACCAACCATTTTATTATAATTACTTTTAATTACTGAGAGGGTGGTTATTTCCTATTTAGTTTTAAGATAAAGCATGAACAGTTGAGCGTTTGTTACTTTGGCAGATTTTTTTTTACTGGAAATACTGAGAGTCTGGGCGGCTCTATCAGTGGACATTCCCCTAATTTAGATAAGTTAGACTTTTTTTTTTCTTTTTAAAAGCTTCCGTTGTGATTTTGATTTGGGATATAGTAAAAAGAGAAGTTGTCTGAATAGATTTTCTACTCTCTTATCTTCCCTGAGTCCTCAGAAAGAACACCAAAAAAGTCAGAGGCTTGCATTTGTCTTAAAACATTCTTTAAATCACTATTTCAGTAGCAGGAAAGGTGATTTAGTAAAAAGTAAAATCAAAAAAAAAGTTGTTATTGGACTAAAAAAAGCTATGTGTAGTTTCCCCCGTGTGTGTGTGTGTGTGTGTGCAGACGTGCACGTGCACAGTCATTCAAAGTGAAGGAATTTTCAGTGTTTGAGTGTTGAGCCTCTGCCTGGCAAACTGTTGGGGTAGTTTTTTGGGGTAATTACAGGAGAGGAGCACAAGGGATTGCGGACATTTGTCTGAGTGGTGGAGCAAGAACGAGGAGAATGGATTGCTCTGCACGCTCTGAGCCATGAGCTGTGGGTAGAAGGTGAGAAGAAGAAAATATTGATCAGTGACTTCTCATTAGTGCAAAACTTATTTTCAGAGAATAGCTGTTTTTTTGTGTTCCAGAGGGCCTGGTGGCAGCTCCATTATTTTAGAAGCTAAAAGGGAATTGATACTGAGATTGTTTGTTTGTTTTGGGTTTTTTTTCTTATTTTGGGATAGATTGCGAGTGCTTCATGTTCATATTCAGACCAATTCTGCCAGTTGCATGTGATGGGAGTCACTTGAGGCACGTCTGTCTGTCTGTCTGTGCACACTGTGGGCTGGGAACCCGGCACACGGGATCCCAAGTGGAAATGGGATAAATGTTACTTAGATGTGAGGAAAAACACAGCAGCAGATAAACTCCTGTAAAAGTGTACTCGTAAATTCTCTGGTTGCATTTGGGGCTCTGAGGGGTTACACAGGAGGAGAGGCTTTTCCTTTCTTATACTCTGTATAGATCTGTAAATATCCAATGCCTGTATATTCTAGGGTTATATATATATGTATATAGAGGAATCGTATTATCTATTATATATAAATAGTTGGTAGACAACCGCATATAATACATATTTACATTTTTATAAACCTGAAAGAATATTACTTTTTCCTTATTTTGAGGTTATTTACCAAGGTTTTTTGTAGTAACTCATTACTAGTTGTATGAACACCTTTCAGTACTGTACACATGGCGCTCTTGGTAACGTTGCTCCAGAAACTTGCTCTGCTTGTGAACGTCACTAATATCCGTGGATTTAAAACAGCTGTACTTTTGTATTTTTCTATATTTTTTTATTAATAATTGCAGATGAGGTGTTAGAACTGACAGCCTGTTTGAGAGCTGGCTGCTGGAGGGGCTCAGGAAAGGCAGGAGCAGCAGCTCAGGGTTCCTGCATCCGTGTGCTCCCCTGACGGCTTCCCTCGAGTGATTCCTGACTGCAGGACCTTTCCGTTCTCAGTCTCCCAGCAGCTGGTGCCCACAGGGAATAGCGGTGGTTGTGTTGCTCCAGAGGAGCTGGACTGACACCGGCAGCTCCCTCCCAGTGGGGTTATTAATGGTTCTTGCATAGCAAAGGATCCCAGTGGCTGCTGCTCAGCTGGGTTGCGTTTGGATCGGGAAGGTGAAGCTCAATCCGTCATTCTTCTTTGTTCTCAAAAAGGCAGGCATCTTTAATTTTTTTAATTTTTTTTTTTTTTTAACTGATGTTGTATTACGACAGTCACTATCTAGGAAACTCTCTCCTTGAAAGCTGGTGAAAGCTCTCCTTGGTTTCTGGCCGTGAGGAACCCTGCCCCAACCTGTACTGATTTCTTACAGACTCTGTGAGAATCACAGAATGATACGGGGTTGGAAGGGACCTCTGGAGATCATCTAGTCCAACCCCCTGCCAAAGTAGGTCCACGAAGAGCAGGTTGTGCAGGAATGTGTCTAGGCGGGTGTTGAATTAAACTAACAGAAAACCAGATGATAAAATCAATAGCATGTGTGGTGTCCGCCACGACCCTTCATGAAATCAGGTGTGTTCCACTGCTATTTGATACGAGGTTGATCGATAGACATTATTGTCCTGGAACAGACTTTATCAGAGCACCTCCGCTGATCTCCGCTGTTTCCAGAGATCTGTAATTTTTGCTGTTACAGTTGATTAAATTGCCTCATAACATTGAAGGGTATTGGGACAAGGGTGGGGAATCTGAGGATTTCCCTGCTTGCTGGGGGTCACACACCAACACCCTCTCTCAGGTGCTTGGTCAGACTCCGTAACTCCGACGCCCAGCAGCCACCCGCTGTAAAATATTCCAGTTGTTTGCATTTGCTGCAGGACTCAGATTAGGAAAGGGTCCCTGTGTTCAGATCACGTAAATGGCCGTCACTTCTCTTTAGTCCCTGGAGCTGCCCCTCTGTGAGCAGGAGAAGGTCTGGCCCAAGTATCCCTTGTGCAGGCGGGTCCCCACACTGGAGCGTGGCTGTTCCGGAGGTCGGGCTAATGGTGCTCACTTGGGGGGATGATCCCTGTCGAAAGGAGAGTGTGGCACTTCGTGGGTGTTGCAAAACTGGGAACAAGTTCCAGTGTCCTGCTTAGAAATCCACAGTATTCCCAAAGCTTTTTTTCTTTTTTGCCTTTATTTATTTCATTCTGGGCGCTCTTTGCAATGAGGTGATTTGAAATATACTTACATTTGAGCTCATTATTAATGAGTAAGCTCCAAAAAAACCCCCCAAAAATGTCAGAGCAGAGCTTTCTACTTCTGTCACGAGCTGCATCTTTGAGTGGTTTACCTGCCTTTCTGCCATGCCTTCCTGGGGCGCACTGATCGACCGCTGAGCTGCCTCTTCCACTGTCCTGCAACGTGAAAAGTAGCACCAGATATTCCTTTGTGCATTTCTGTGTATATGGCTTTCGTAGTTGGGATTTTTCAAAGCACTGATTCCCGGTGTTTTCAGTTTGTTCTATGAGGGGATATTTCATTTGCATCTATGTTTTTAGCTATCCTGTGATAACTTGTTGAATATTAAAAAATAAAAATATTTTGCTTCTATTGGGACATTTGTATACTCGCAACTATATTTCTGTAAACAGCTGCAGTCAAGAATAAAACAATGAAAGTTTTCATTTTGCAGTGTAAAGTCTTGTTGTGTTTTTTTCAAGGGCATCTCCTCTCTGCTGGGAGAAAGAGTCCATTCTTCAGCACGGAGTAAACCCGTCTGGGAACCATCTGGTGCTCGGGTCAGGAAATAACTGGGGAGGCAGGAGCCCGTGATGATTTGTGCCTGTGGTGTATCCCGCTGGAGTTGTTGCGTAAGAAAAGGCACCGTGTCATTGTGTGCACTTTAAAAAAAAATAATAATACTGCATTCTTTCTGATTTTGTGGTGTTAAGTCCAAAATAACCATCTATATCATCTTACTACCCAAACCCCAACCTGCAAATTACAAAAGTGTTCAAAGAAATTTTTTTCATAGTCCATCCAAAGCAGGGCTCTGTCCGTGAGGGACCTGAGGCAGATGCAGAGCTCTCTGCCAGGTGGTCTGGGGGCTGTGAGCCCAAAAATCTTAATTAACCGCCTCTCCAGAATTAGCAGTGTCCTACTTTCTCTGCATCTTTGGCGTATTTATGCCAACGTACTACAAAATAACATAGGGGTTGCTGGGTGCGTGTCCCCCTTCCTGCTGACCTCCTGTGGGGATGTAACCTCCGGTAGGACCATGGGGTGATTCTGTAATACTGAAAAATTACAACAGGGCTAAGAAGAAATGCTGCAAACGCCCCCAGAGCTGGGCAGGGAGGGTGCTGTGAAGGACTTGAGTGGATTGATCCCTAAGGCTTTCCTCTAGTGCTGCCCCAGTGTCTCCCCCTTCAGTGTGCCCACTGCCAGGGTCAGACATGGCCGTGCTGCAGGGGGGCAAATGCCCCTGTTGCTGGCTCTTGCCCCTCCAGAGCTGCCAGCCCTACTGCAAGTATTCATTAGCCACCCACCTTGTTAGTGCCACTGTGGTGCCATCAGGCACAAGAAAACACCCTAAGAATCTCTCCTCAGCCGCCTCTTCCTCTCGAGACTCAGAGGAAGGCAGACCCCAGCCTGCAAGCCTGGCACAGGGAGCCACAAAAACAAGACTGAGCCATGGGGCTACGGGTTTTTGTGTTTATTAGCAATGTGGCCACTGCGTGGGGCATCCTGGGGGCCGAGCAGGGAAGCCACTGTCTCACCCAGCTCTCTCCCCCATTCCGACAGTCCCGATGACTGTCACCCCCAGTCACTGGCCACTCTTCAGGCACCAGAAAAGCATAGAAAGAAAGGCCCTGCCCAGGCAGCTGCCTTCATTCAGAAGGGTACTGGGAAGAGGCTTTGCCCTCCCAGAGCCCTCAGGCCTCGGGAGCAACATGCAAGGCCCGGGCAGATGGTCCTTCCCTCACAGCAGCAGCTGCAGGGGCCCCATACTGCCCTTCACCTCCTCTTCACAAACTTCTTTGTCACGGCGTTGGGGTTCAGGCGCCTCCTGCCAGCGCCCAGGGCGGCGTCCCGGATCTGCAGATTGGCCGCCCGGCTGTAGATGTCGTTTTCTGCAAAGGGTGAGATGCTGGCGATGTAATCGGGGTCGAAGACGTTGGTTTTCTGCCTGGCCTTGCGGGACAGTCGCTGCTGTGGGAAGGGCTGGTCTTCCACCAGGTGAGGGTTGTTCGCGTGCTTCCCTCCTCGGGGGGCCGGCAGCGGGTACTGCCAAGAGAAAAGAGGTTGTTAAAACTCGCTTTGGGGGTGACTTTTTCTCAGAGGGACTTCAAGGTGGTTGCCCCATCCCTGGAGGTGTTCAAGGGCAGGCTGGATGGGGCTTTGAGCAACCTGGTCTGGTGGGAGGTGTCCCTGCCCATGGCAGCGGGGTTGGAACTCAACGATCTTTAAGGTCCCTTCCAACTCAAACCATTCTATGATTCTATGAAGGTGACTGCAGCCCTCTAGAGAAGAGCTGAGCAAATGAAGAACTGACCACAGGCCAGGCCCTTGTCCCAGCATGGGATGCACAGCTACTCACCCTGAGCCCCCGGGGGTTTAGGACCTTGGGGTTGCGGGAGAAATGCATGTGGAGGCTCCCGTCATCGCTGACGCTCACTGCGACCTTCTTCAGGGTCTTGTTGCCGCAGTGGGGACAGAAAACCTTGGTCATATCTGACGTGGTCCTGCAAGACAGGGACAGGGGGGGTTTTACTGCTCCCTGGGTGGTGGAACACAGGCCCAGCTCAGGAGCAGGATCACCCGCACACCCAGCCAAGGGCTCTGTGCCCACACGCTCACTTGAAGCAGCCATGACAGCGGAGGATGTAGCTCCTGGCCTGGCGGATCAGCATGCCGTTCACCGCCAGCACGTGGAGGCCCATCTGAAGCAGCACGTTCTGCAACGAGAAGGGAGAAACCGGGACGCTGTGAGCTGGGACTTTAAGCGGGGTCTGCCAGCCCAGGCAGCGAGGGGCCGACAGAAGCGACACCAATGGGCTTTGCAGAGGTCTCTGCTATGGACAGAACTGGCTGTTTTTAAGATAAAAGGAGCTGTCACAAAGCTGGTCTCATCCTGCCCCAGGGGACTCAGCAGGGCGCTCCTCTCTTCATGTTCCTGGAGGTTTGGGGCCCACGCTGCCAGCCCCCTGATGGGCAGGGGAGGTACAATGCCCACAGGGCATCAGCTGAGCCCAAGGCTGGAGCCCGTCCGCCGCAGGGCAGCAGCCAGCACCCACCTGCATGGCAAAGTCAGTGGTGACGCAGCCGACCTGGACGTCAGCGGAAGCAGTGTCAAAGTGCCCCGTGTCCTGCTGGGCCTGCTTGAGGTTGCTGGGTGTTATCCAACCCTCATCATCGCTCTCCTCTTCATCCTCTTCTTCCTCAGCGCTGGCCCCATCCTCAGAGCTCTGGTGCTCCTTGGTGGTCTCTGGGCTAATGGAGATGGCTTGAGCTTTCTGGGGTGGAGAAGACAGTCAGCTATGGCAGACACAGCTCTCCCAGTGTAGCACAGCACCATGCAGGAAAAGCCACCCAGAAAGCAGGGTAGCAAGGACAGCGAGGAGACAAAGCTCCAGGTCTCACCAGCAGCTCCTGCAGCTCGTCCTCAATGCTGGGCAGGGGGGCTCGCCAGTAGAGAAAGGAGCTGAACTCATCACCCTCACAGGGGACCGTGCTCCTCTCAGGGCTGGGCTGACACTGGCCTTTCCCCGGGTGCTTGTGCTGTGGGGGGACACAGGACAGGGGGTCCCTCACCCTCCATGGGCTCTGCGGGGCTGCATCCCCTCCCCAGGGCCTTCCCTCGGGGTGCTGTGTCCCTGTCCCTTACCTTGGTGGGCAGGTGGAAGCCGGCGAGGTGCAGGGGGGCCTCGGGGTGCCGCGGGGTGGAGCTGAGCTGCACCTGGGGAGGCAGGCAGGGGGTCGGCTGGGTGTCCTGGGGAGGTGTCCCCGTCCCCGGGGGGTGGCCCTTACCTTGTCCTGGGGCTCCCAGCGGAGGCAGCCGAGGCCGTCAGTCTCCTCCTGCAGCTGGCAGGTGAGGGCGAGCACCTGCAGGTCCGCCGCCGAGAGGCTGGGGTAGTCCCCGGTCTTCTTGGAGAAGTCGGTGACTGCGGGGAGGGGGTGCGGGGAGGAAGGGAGGGATAAAGAAGCCGCCGGGCCGGGCCAGGCCGCAGGGAGCCGGGCGGGCCGGGCCTCCCCGTGGTGGGGGATCCCGGTGGGGGCCGCAGGGCCGGTCGGTTCGGTGACTCACCGAGGCGCAGGAGGTCGGGCCGCGGCCGGCGGAGGTGCAGCTGGCAGGGCAGGGCGGCCAGGCGGCGGCGCGTCGGCCTGTCGCGGATCTCGGCCAGCACCTCGGGCACGGTGTAGAGGTTCTGCGC